ACTGGGCCCAAAGTCTTTGTGGTTTCTGCGGTTCTTTCGACTCTTTGAGCAGATGTTGGATGCTTCTCGCTCTGTAAGAGGAATTCCGGCCTGCAGGCGCTCTTAGTGTTCACGAATTTTAATCAACTCTATGCCAAAAGCCCCTCCAAGTGGCGGCCACAAAACGCAAGCCAGGCTGGAAAATTAAATGAAAAACTAACTGGAAAGGCTTAACCAACAGTTTGAAGAAATTTAATAAAGTCTGACTAAAAAGGGTAACTGTGTTTTAAATTCTACACCATTTAAACGAATTTATTTGAAGTGGAATTAAAACATGAAATCAAATATCACCATATATTAAATGGATTTCAAAAAGTAAGTACTTAAGTAAGTACTCCTTAGTATTTAAATATTACCAAATCCCAAAGAACAAGAAAAAAATTAAAAATAACAAAGTTATACTTTTTTTAAATTTTTTTCTCCCGATTATTCCTATAGGAGCTATATGATATTGTCGGCCGATCCGTTTTAGGAAGTTTTAAGCAGATAACTTTAAAACTGAGGGACTAGCTTGAGTAGAAACGGACAGACGAACATGGTTAGATTGAATCTTCTGGTGATTCTAATCAAGAATATATAATTTATAGGGTCGGAAATGACTCCTTCACTGCGCTGCAAACTTTTGACTGAAATTATAATACCCTCTGCAAGGTTTTACAAATATATATTAATATTATATAAAACACTTGTGCTCTCGAGTCCACTTGTTTTTTTGTAAATGCCTTCGGGTTTCGTGACTGCTGTTTTGAAGGCCCTTAAGTCAGATTTTAGAGCCCACAGCTTGTTACATAAACAATCTTACACTTTCTTCTTTATGTCAGTTTCCGCTGCTGATAAAACAGAACAGCCGGCTGACTGTTCATCCGTCTGTCCCCTTTTACGTTATCTAGTTTTAAAGCTATTTGGATGCAACTAGATATATAATTATCAGCAATTTTTGAAATACGGTGTTATTTTTATAAAATTTGGACGACTGCCAAAGTAACAATTGGGAAAACGGCAATTAAAATTATAACATCTTAATATAAACACATATACTCCGAAATATGGCCATTGTAACGATTTCAGAATTACGGTTTTACAATGGACCTAGCTTCATTGTTTTTAAGTGTCGAAATCAAGATATAATATTTACAATACCTGCAAGGGTATATAAACTCAAGCTTGCCAAAGTTTGCTTTTTTAAATTTTTTTGTTTAATCATAAGAAATACGAGTATATTTTCAATTAATTTTAATTTTCTATGGCATTTTCTACCTGAAATAAAAGGAGATCTTTGGGAAAGTTTCACTCTTCTAAAACACATTTTTGATTTCAACAAACTAATCCTCTTTTCAATTCAATTTTGAATTTCTGTAAACAATAAAAAGAAACAAAATAAATTGTTCATTTTTTTCTGATACTGGCTATGTACCAAAAAAAAGGCACCTCCTCCATTTGGTAATTAATTTCATTAATCACATTCTCTCTCTTATCGCTCCTTATTGGCGGGAAAGAGACCATGAAAATCACATAAAAATAATGTGTTATTTATAAAACAAATGGTCATTCAGCATTAAATTTAAGAGCCCGTCCATCTTGGCGCATACGCGATAATTGTGGGAAAGGTTCGGCCACTTTCCCCCAAAATTCTGGGCACACCCAGCAAGAGCCGGCAAATCGACAATTAGAAGCCAAGTTAGCGGCCGCTTAGTGACTCACCAAACACGGCTTTTTGCCCCACAATGTGCGCACTGACCCAAATTGCGGCTAAGTGTGTGCGAGGGGAACGTGGCTGGGATGTTGCTGGCCCGCAGAAAGCATAAATCCAAGTGCCGGTCAAAGTTTCCGGAATTTTGATGCATTTCACTGGACTAGCGGGACGGTAATAGAGTTTGAAAGAATTTCACTGCAATCCCCTAAGAGGCATACAAACAACTGTGTGGAAGACGAAACCTAAGTACCCTTCGCAAAGCCAAATTCATGATTCAAATGGAAAAACGAAAAAGCATAGGAACCGTAAATATATTACATTATTATCAATTAAATTAGTCCTGTGGACTTTTTTAATTTTTTTCTACATTCTCATTATGAACAGTCCATTATGAATTACAAAGAATATGGAATTAAATAGACCGATTAGTGATAAAAACGATGAGGATATTTATATGTCATAATTATAAGATACATAGTAAATATTTTTACTACTACAAATTGGGATAACACCATATACCCCTTTTTAAAAGTGTAAAAAAAAGATAAGAAGCAGTGATGTACTAAGAAAACAAAAATAGCAGGCCAAAAGAGAAATTCCGCAGACTACACTTGAAGAGTTTGTTAATTTACTGGTCTAACTTCCGGGAGTAGAAATACGACGGTCTAAACTTAGTCCGTTCAGGTCATGATTTAGTGTGCTAATGGTTTTCTGTATTTTTTGCTGGGACGACAAGTGGAACTTGCGTCCAATGCCAGTCAAATAAAAGACATGACACATTTCGTTTGAAATTTATACGCCGCATGGAGAATCATATCAATGGCAATTTTATCTCTATCCATTCGTTTATTTATTGAACTGAAATCAGTGCACAAATGCCCGTTCTGCTCCCATTGATTGAAATGGTTTTTGGGAAATCTTTTGCATAACATTGACTCGACTGAGCCAACACAAAAGCCGAATCTAATACACATCCACAATGTCCTTACGTAGGAGAGATCGGAGCAGAAGCGTTCCAAATGTAATCGAAACCACAAAAGCCAGCAGAGGATGGTTGAGGGGCACACAGAAGCAGAGCTCCACATCAATCAAATACATTTTCGGTTTCTGTTTACTTTTGGCTCGTTTGTTTGGCTAGAGATTTCAATACACTAATTTTATCGATTTCTGCTGTTGTTGGGCCGACTTACATTTTAAATGGAAAATTATGTAAATAAAACTTTTGTTTGCGACATTTGGAAAGTGCCCTAACATGATTTGTATTCGATTGAATAGCCAAAGGATTTTATCCAATAAAAATGGATTTTTCCCTCAGCCGAAACTAAAAGCCTGGAAATGGGTTCTGGATAATCTATTACTCAAAAAATTTTTCATGTGAAAAATTTCTATGAAAAGTGTAAGCGATGCTATTGCAAATCCTGATTTGCAATAAAATATATAATCAACCTATTATCAAATCTTTTTTAATTTACAAAAAATAAAATTATGCAAGCTTATAACTGATAATAAACAACAATAATAGTCCCGTTGGTTGGCCTTAATATGTAATTTTTTGTTTATTAATACACATTCAAAAGTATAGAATAGATATGTCTTTATTAAGATATCTTAACACAAAATCCGAATTTTTTGTATGATTCAAAGAATTCTGTTCGACAGTTAATTTAAATAATAAAAAAAAGGTTTATTGACAAGCGTCTTAATGACTTGGCTACAGTGTCGAAAACCTGGCAAATATCACTCCTCAGAATTCACAGCCGGTGACGTCGAGACCGAAGTAAAGCTAATTAAATGAGGCCAGCAGTCTTTTCTAGGCTGCGGCAGGAACATAAAGCAATTAAAAAAAAAACGATTGGAATTTTCCCATAACATAATACTGAAATTAAATTTCTTATCGGAATGCGTACCGTAAGTTTTAAAACCAAAAAAAAACATGTATTTGTAAATGGAAAGAGAAGCTAAATCATTTGCAAGAACTCACAATATATATGGCCCCCTGATAATAAAATTAACGTCATAAATTGTTTGAAATAGCTCTAACAACAATTTTGTAATCTGACTTTCTTGTTCACCCAAGTGTATACACATAGTTTGATATCGTTATCGTGTATAAGAAGTGTAAAAACCCTTAAAAAGTAATAACATATTTATTAATTAATATAAAAAAATAACATAATAGCACGCAAGAATTATGAATTCGTATTCTGAAAGTAGCAAAAAAAACGCAAATCGGTTTTAACTAATTTCGATAAGTAATTTCAGAATTCGCGGCTACTAGTTGCAGTGTGTAATTTGATAAGCTAACAATGTTTTTCCCATTGAGGAAGTTAATATGGCAAAACTAAGAAAATAATAGAACATGTATTCACAAAAATGTATCACAAAAGGGGTCTTGGCCTACTCTCAGATAAGAAGTGGATTCAAAATGAGAATAAGAAGTTGCTGAGGCAATTAAACAAATGACTGACTCTGGGTGGAGAAATAATAAAAAGGCGATAACGATTTGGATTTTTGAGATAAGAATATGTTTTATTATATTTTTTTAAACTTGTATTTATACACATTATATCGCTCAAAAGCGGATGAGCTGATATTTTAGATTTTCATTACTATAGCTTATCCAAGGTTTAAATAAGAAAGGAAGCAAACTACGGCAAGCCGAAGTTTATATACCCTTGTCGTTTTTTTACAGTTTACAGACGGACAGACAAACAGATGTATAGCTGCCATAGAAACGATGGCAAAATGCAGCAAAATCGACATAGCTTCATTGTTTTTAGTAATATAGGAATAGAAATCGAAATGTAGTCGTTTTGTAATAACCGCAAGGGTATTTAAACTTCGGCTTGCCGAAGTTTGGTTCCTTTGCTTCCGGCTCGTTTCGACTTATACACTGCCTTTAAAACTGAGGGACTAGTTGGAAATTTCTCCTTCACTGCGTTGCAAACTTTTGACTGAAATTAAAATACCCTCTGGAGGGGTATACAAATATTGTGTTTATCTGCTTAGCAAATAAGTACACCATGGAAACTTTCATTGCTTATATATGGGCTTTATTATCGAACAGAAAGCAAATAGTTGCCCATTCTTTCCATATATATTGATGTTTTAATTTCGGGGTAATATATAAAGGGACCTTTTATAATTTTTTATTCAAAGAAAGTTTTCAGCTGGGAACAAAATAAAATAAAAGGCGTTGAGAATCGAAATCCCCTCGACTCTCACGTTATCTCCGGATGTCTTCGGACCCACCTGGGTGCCCACTCACCTTTGGTCCTCCAACAGCTTCTCGGCCTGGGCGAGGCGCAGGCGAACGGTCTTCATGCTCTGGATGGGAAAGAGGCGGCAGAAGCGCGTGAGGAAGGCCGGCCGCCAGCAGAAGCGCGGGAACTCCCGGCAGACGTCCCACAGCCGGGTGTTGTGCTCGAACAGATAGGTGTGCGTCTTGCCGAAGTTCAGGTAGTCTAGCATGTCTGCGTAGTCGCAGTTGAGCAGGTTCTTCAGGTTCTGCACAGCCAGCTCCTGGTCGTCGGGGTCGCGGATCTGCTTGATGCCGAAGTCGAGCAGCGGCTCGTAGTGGTAGAAGTTGCCCGGGATCGAGTTGAGGATGTCGCCCAGGAAGGTGGAGCCGGAGCGCCACGAGGTGACCACCACACTGCGCACTGGGGTGCCGTTCGTCTCCGGAGTCATGTCCGCCAGGCGCTCGGCCCCGCCGCGCGGGTACTCAAAGTTCTCCATCTCGGCCAGGATGCGCGACCGTTGAGCCGACAGGACATCCACTAGAGTAGCTGTCAGGTTGTAGACGACCGTCTGCGACGGCTGCTGCTGCTGCTGCAGTTGCTGTTGGAAGCGGTCGTAGAAGGCGCTGCGCGCCAGCGAGTTGGAAGGACCCCCATCCACGGGCGCGCCCACTCCGGCGCCCGCCCCCTGATCCCGGCCAGCCGCCTGGTTGAATGGGGTGGTCAGCGGACGGTGCTGGGTGGTGGCGATCAGCAGCAGGATGCACAGGCTGCTCACGCCGCAGATGCCTATCAGATTGGCCCTGCGCGACATCCGGCTACGTCGCCGCTTCCCGTTCAAGCTGAGGCGCTGCTTAGCGCGTGTCCTGCCGGGATCGACGTTCGACGGGTCCTGGTCCTGCGGGCTGAGCAGGGAGCACGACTCTAGGTCCAGATCCAGGTGCTCCTCCGTTTCCCTTTCCCCTGTGCTCATTGGTGGCTGGCTAATTGCTGGAGGCTGATTTCTGGTCGTCGCTTGCTCCCGCGGAATCACTGATCACTGGTGGGCTATGCTCGCACTCGCTCCCACACGCACATAGTTATCGCCGCGCCCTCAACTGGAGCGCATTGCAGATCGCTGCGGATGTCGCGTCGTAGTTTTATCTTGTTTTCCGTAGTTTTAGGTCGATTTTCCGCGACGCGAACCGAACGAAACCATTGACAACAACACAGTGACCGTAGCGCGAATGTGAAAACATACCACGGGGTATCGAAAAAGTAATGAAAAATATGCCCTAAATATTCCACAGAGTACGCCATCGAAGTCGCGAACCAAGGTGGTCAGCTTTGCTAGCTGCCTAGCGCGGACTTGAACCACGCCCGGCTTTTCAAATTTTATAATGATTTCGATGAAGCGTTTGCCTCTGAATTCTGGAAGGATATATGTACATACAAGATTTGGATTACCGAAGAAAGTCTTTTTTTATTAACGGTTATTATTAAAATCGTACTAAGATCTAAGGTCCCAATGATCTATTATTTTCGGCACGTTTAAGCTGATTCTTGTGTTGGCGACACAGCACACCCGTTTTGATGGTATAGAAATGTTACAAACTCATTAATTGTATAATAAAACAAGAAGGAACGCTATAGTAGAGTGTCACGACTATTAAATACCCGTTACTTTGTAAAATATTAAAAAAAAATTTCAAAACTTGCGAAATTATTTCAAAACATAGATAGAATATTCATGTTAAATGCGAAATCTCTAGATCGTATAGTTTTGCAACGAATATAATTCCTTTTACTTTATGAGTAACGGATATAAATATGTACCAATATATTAACTGATTGCGTAAATTTATACAACTCATCTCTCGTGCAAGCGACCCTATCACACTCCGTTTACATTTACTCCCACCATACTCGTCCATAAAGTCTTAAGCCTTGCCCAAGATCGGTTCGAATGTCTCCGGGGAAAAGTTCTTAAAGTCCTGGATTAAGCGATAGCCCCATAAGTCCATCGCCTCGCCACATACCCCCTGAACCGCCTGTATTTCAGGCAGCGTCATTTTGCTCATCCATTCGTGGGCGGGCGGATTGGAGTACTTCCAACGAAAGTCAAAGTCGGAGGAGTCCATGACTTGACCACTGCGCGGATGAGCTTCTCGAGTCCTGGTCTTAGGTCGCTTCATTGGCAGGCCATAGAAATCGAATACCAGCTTGATACTCTCTTCGGGTTGCAAAAACAAGTCCTCATAACGTATAATGCTGGGGGATGTACGATATTAGGAAAATACACAGCTTATTTCAAAAATACATGAAATAGTTATTATTATTTGAAAAATAAATCGAACCCATAAATTACTAGTTACATTTTTTCTGAACGATTTAATATTGACTATAAACTGTCACTTTAAAAACAGTATATTTTGGAAAAATGTTCAAATTATGTTATGACAAATGTCACATTAAATAAGCTTAATTACTTTAAAAATGGGGGTATACATAGGGGGTATATTGAAGTCAATGTCGGTTTCAAGTTATAAGGAACGGAAAGCACTCACCTGAAACGCTGCGGAAAAGATTTGGAAAGCGTCTCAAACATCTGATGATCGCTGACCATATCGTTACAAAGGGTCTGCACTTCGCAATCCTTTTCAGTCGTACACCAATTGTTATTCATACGGGAGTACGTAGTTCCCCGAGGATCGCGAACGATGAGCAGGATTCGAAGATTTAACCTATTAAAAGATTTTTCGTAACTCAAAAATAATAAGTGGACTTCAGAGGCAAAGCTTAAAAGATTATTTCTGAAAACCCGTCATTCTAGTACTTAAATTTTGGTAAATCATATTTGTTATTCCCACAAATCGTTCCTACAAGAGTATTATTTGTAATTGTATTTTTTAATTACGCTGGTAAATGTGTAAGAATAACTAAGTTTGAGCGCACCCAACAATTGTTACACACGTATTGAATTAGAGTTAGGAATCTGAAATTCGCAACCACTCACCCCTCACGTTCCAAGAGAGATGCCAGAAACCTTAGCCGCAAGTTGTACACGGCCATGTTGATGAACGGATAGAGTTTGCAGATGCCGGCCATCTTCTGCGGATCCCAGCATATCTCCTGGCTGTAGGTCATGCAGGTCTTCGACTGGACGCCGTAAAAGCGTCGGAAGACCGCCGAGCGCATTCCCCAGTGGAGCATCTCCGTGGACTTGTTGTAGTTGCAGTTGTACAGCGCGACCAGCTCGTCCAAAACCCGGTCGACCGCCTGCTCCGCCACTGAGCGACTCTCGTATGCGATCAGCGGAGCATAGTGCTGGTAGCAACCCGGCTGGTGGGCCAAGTTGTCCAGGAGGGTCAGAGCACCCGACCCCCGGAACGTGACCAGCATGGAGCGGATGGGCTGGCCGCCTGTTTCCAGGGTGTAGTTGCTCAGGTCGCCCAGGTGCCGCGTGCTGTAGGCCACTACCGATTTCTGCACGCTCACCGGATCCGGCATAAGAATGGGCAAGACGAGGAATATGAACAGGGCATAGGTGGTGTAGACGCCCACGCAAACGCCGGTGAATTTGGTGGTACGCGAAACTTGCATTATTACTGAAATTTAAAATTTCCCCTAAGCCCTATCAATACAATTTTTGAAAGACTGAATGATCGTTTTGTGTGGATCTGACAGACTAAGCTTTGCTGCAATGAAAGGCTCAAAGCAAAGGATCTCAAAAACAAGAACCCATTTTTATTTTTAAGGTTTATATTTATTTATTATTTAGTGTCCGCAAAGACATGACTTAAAAAAATACTCGGATTCCCAAAAAATTCGAATAACAGTATGTTTATCTCGCAACATGCTACGTTTATTGGCATATCATTTGTATTTAATATATTTTTAATAGTTAATAATTTGTTATTAATTAATAACTAAAATACTAATATTGCTATATTATATTACGTAAATATTCCGAATTTCAATTTGTTAATATATATTTTGTATAAGATCCACTACGCTGCTGAAAATTGATAAACTTTTGAAAAATAAAAGAGTTTCGGACTAGGCAGCCACACAAATCTCAAAATGTGAGAATTGTTTATTTTGTAAATTATAAATTAATGCCGATTAATGATTAGCAGCTAATCAATATGCTTTGTTAAAATTCTTTAAATTTCTGGCACCAAATGTGGGTTCCACAAACATTGAACCTGTAATATGCTCCAATACGTATTATAAGTCGGTATATCTATTATTAAGTGTTAATCTTTTTATAAAGGCAGGGTTTATGATGACAATGAAGGTGTTTTAAGGAAATCTGATCCCTACAACAGATTTATCTGTGAGTTAAGCTCATAAAGATATGGCCAGCGAAAGCATTAAAAAAGTTATTCTTAAAATACATGGAATATTATTGAAATATAAATATAACTCTTAGAAGGCTAACTAATGATCTGAGAATGGGAATTAGTTACACATTTTGCAAGTATTTGTAAAATGTATACATTATTTTAAAATACGTGTTATACTTCTGCAATAGTTATTACTAACTTATGTAACAACTAAGGAACCAGTTGGTAACAGACCCAAATAAAAACTAGGAATGCGGATAATATTCGGGACTGTTGCTCTACCAACATTAAAGTACTTGCGCATGCTTTAAAATTAATACTAAATGTTTAATACCATTACTGTCCCCGAATGTCTTGGTTTGCATATTAATCGCTGTTGCCCTCGGTCTCCTCATCCAGCAGCAAACTTGTCGAACCATAGCTACGGAGTCTGAAATTTGTAACACATTTGAATAAATTTAAATTAAATTATATTTTTTTGTACGGAAATCAGTTTTGAAGCAAAATGTTAGTGAATATTAGCATATAAATCACCTTAAATAAAATTAAATTATAATAAATTTAAAAGAATGTGCGTTTACAATACTTAGGTTTTTTTTGTAATCCCTTTTTAAATGTCGTGTAACATTAATTCCTTTCGATCAGTTAATTTTAAAAGTTTTACCCAACACATTTTGGTTTTTTATGTTATGGCAGCATCAGATCCTACTAAGGATTTTATAAAACCGAATGACAAACGAAAAGATTATAACATTTGTGATTGCTTAAAATCAATTAAAAGAAATTTGTGTAACAACTCTGACTCCAATATTCATTCAAGTCCCTCTAATCTCACCTCATCGTCGGACACTTTGAGACCGTCTAGATTAATGCTGTTCCTGGCATACCCCGCACCTGCGGACTGCTCCTTCTCATACAGTTGCCGGTTCAGCTCATCTTTGCTGGAAGCGGAGCTGCTCCCTAAGTTGGTCATTCCCTTTAACGGCAGAGCGAGATTCGCCCGACTGGCATTGCTTCCTGCGCTTCCATATCGTCCATTTCCGGATCGTTGCCTCTGATGATGGTGGTGATGTTGCCCATGTGGATTATCGAATTTCTGCTTGGCTCGCTCGAACTCCAAGTTCCTGGATTTTGACTCAAATATATTCTCCTCGAGGTGCGTGGGCTTGGCATCGAAAAACGCCGCTGCTGCCGCTGCCGCAGCCGCCGCGGATGCCGCTGCACTGCTCTGCTGCTGCTGGAGAAGCGTCCGTTCCGTGTGACTGGATCTCTTGACAGAAGCTGCATGGTGGACAGCTGCATCGCTGCCATTGTGGGAGCTCCTCAAACACGCCTGTGAGTCATCGAAAATCTGGCGCAGATCGTTGATGTTCGGCAGACAATCGTTTGGCAGCTCCACGGCGATCTTGTTCCTCAACTGCACCCCGCCCATTCCCCGCAGCTGGGGACTCGGGGCGCGTCTTGTGTCAGAAAGTTAGGAGTGGGTTAGGAGTTAGTTTAGCCAAGCCAGCACCGTTGTAATGTTAGTAGTCATTAGAGTTAGTCAAAAGACTTATCGGTATGTAAAAATAGGTATTTTTGTTGGTCTCACCTGTTCTGAAGGTGCTGTATTTGCACCTGTAGGCCCTCGGTCTGACCCACAAGCTCGTCGTTGGAGCGTTGCAATCGTCTCACTTGGTTCACTGCCGAATCCAGTTCGTCCTCCGCGCCAGCTAATTCCCGCTTTAGCTCCTCCACGCGCTGCCGAAGGCGTTTGACCTGCATGAAGGAAAAGGTAAAAGCATAATTATGTTCAGAATAAGTTTGTGTTCCTCAAAAATAATACAATCATAAACTGACTTAGACCAATGAGAGCTGTGTAGGATATACGTACTTTACATACATATGTTGATACATACAGTTTGTCAATTAATTGTTGGCAAAATGAACCAGAAAGGAAGCAAACTTCCGTAAGCCGAAGTTTATATACACTTGCAGTTATTACAAATCTACTACATTTCGATTTAGATTGATTTTAATCTGGTCCCCATGGATTCTACCAACTTTTTGGTTTTTGGTTTCTACGGGAATTCGGTTCCCTTCCCCGTTAAGGCACTTTTTAAGTCATTTCTATTGGAAATCTTTCTCTTCCGAATTGCCTGGTCCAAAATTTCCCACAGATTTTCGATAAGATTAATTTCCGGTGATGGTGCTGGCGTGTTGATTACATGGGGGCTGTTCCATATTAGCCAACTCTTGACAATTCCAGCGGAGTGCTTGGGGTCGTTAACTTGGTAATACCGAAACCGATCGCGTATGCACAGTTTTTCAGCAGTTCGCGACAGGTTTTCCTTTGAAATCTGGAGGTGCATCTTGGCCATCCGTAATTCCGTCAATAAAAAAGAGGTTGCCCCGCCAGAAGCTCCAATTCATTTGACTGTATCTTATATGTAAATATGTATGTAGATTTGTACAAAGCGAATCAAATGCAACAAGCAACGCAAGGGGCGTGTATGCCAGTCCTCAAATCAGATTGATAAGCAGACGACCCCCGCCAAGTCGCGATAACACTTGAAATAGGAAAAATTTCTTCCCATTCGCTTCACTCTCGGTTTCTATCGTCAAGTCAAAAATAAAAACGATAGTGCGAATAATTTAGAGCCCGGAGATTAAGATCGGGCATAACAACAATATTATTTCTGGGTAAACAAAATGAAGCGAGGCGGCAAAGAGAAAAGTCCGCGAGAACGTCGAAAGCTCTCGCTGCAGATCGGAGCTTTCTTCATTCTCTCGTCGAACGTCGAATCGAGCAGCTGTTCCCCGGAGAACCGGCTGAATATTTCCAACCAAACACACAGCACAAAACAAGGAAAATGATTGCGCAAAGTGTAATCAGCAGTCTGCGGCCCTGTGCCCGCCGTTTGGCCAGCACGAGCTCCAAAGCCGCAGCCCCCAAGTTCAACTGGCTGGATCCTCTAAATTTGGAGAGCCAGCTGACCGAGGAGGAGGTGGCCATTCGGGATGCGTTCCGCGGATACTGCCAGGCGGAACTGCAGCCGCGAGTGAAGATGGCCAACCGCCTGGAGACCTTCGATAAAAAGATCATGGAGGAGATCGGCAGCTTGGGAGTCCTTGGATGCACCATTAAGGGTTACGGTTGTGCCGGGGTCTCCAGCGTCGCCTACGGATTGCTGACCCGCGAGGTGGAGCGTGTGGACTCCGCCTATCGGTCCGCCGTAAGTGTCCAGAGTTCGCTGGCAATGGGCGCAATTTACGACTTCGGCTCAGAGGAGCAGAAGCAACGCTATCTGCCCAGTATGGCGGAGGGCAAGCTGATCGGTGAGTCTTAAATTAGGGTTCGGGTAATCTATAAACCCCTAATAAACAATATTTTAGACCAATTTTGGGTGGATTATGTAAAGGCACTTTGAAACCCAGCAAATAATAAAAATAGTTCACTATATTGCATTAATTTTTTGTTTCTTAAATGCTTCAGTGACGAGGATTTAAAAAATTATTAGAAAAACTTGAGTGGCAATATACAAAATTCCCCTTCCCCTTTTTTCCAGGTGCATTTGGACTGACTGAACCCAACCACGGCAGCGATCCGGCCGGCATGGAGACCCGCGCCAAATACGACAGCAAAAGCAAGACTTACATTCTGAACGGGTCCAAGACCTGGATAACTAGTGCGCCCATTGCCGACGTAATAGTCGTATGGGCCAAATGCGAAGATGGCAAGGTTCGAGGCTTCCTGGTGGACCGTAAGATATCCGGCCAAGGATTAGAAACACCCAAGATAGAGGGCAAGTTTTCGCTACGCGCGTCGCCCACGGGAATGATCCTGATGGACGACGTTCGAGTGCCGGAAGAGCAGCTTCTCCCCAATGTGTCGGGTTTTAGTGGACCCTTCACCTGCCTGAACAATGCTCGCTATGGAATCGCCTGGGGCGCTCTGGGAGCTGCTGAAACCTGTGTGGAGATTGCACGCCAGTATACCCTCGATCGCAAGCAATTTGGCCGCCCTTTGGCTGCAAATCAGTTAATCCAGAAGAAACTGGCCGATGCCATCACGGAGATTTCTTTGGGCCTGCAGGCCTGTCTGCATGTGGGCCGCCTTAAGGATCAGAAGCTGCATACGCCCGAGATGATCTCCCTTCTGAAGCGGAATAACACTGGAAAATCACTGCATATTGCCCGCGAAATGAGGGATGTGCTAGGTGGCAATGGAATCAGTGACGAATACCATGTGATTCGGCATGTGATGAACTTGGAGTCGGTGAACACCTATGAAGGCACGCACGATATACACGCTTTGATTTTAGGGCGCGCCATTACAGGACTGGCGGCATTTGCTAACTAATTTCCCTTTTTGAATGTTATAAAGAACTGCATTTACTACTGTGTTAGATGTGTATGAGTCAATGTGAATAAATTTCGATTAAATCAAATTTTGACGGAGAAGAGTGCTACATTATTTAGTAGTCATACAGTTTCCTCTGGCTGATAAGCCGACATGGGTAATCGGCTTCATATACCATCCGATAAGATTTTAGGGTGTGGATTTACTCACCTCCGCTTCATACTGCTCCGCACGGCGTACTGCGTGACCCAGCTCGGTGTTTGTTTCTGCCAGCAGCTTCTTTAGCTTGGCGTGCGACATCTTCACCTCGCTGATCTCTTTGTTGCGCTCAGAAAGTTCTTGCTGCAATGCCCGCAGCTCAACGTCATTTGCTTGCATAGGTCGGCACTTGCGGTCGGATCGTTCTTGGTAGTCCCGGAGTTCTGCACGCAGTTTCTTGTTGTCCCGCTCCATTGCCAATTTCTCGGACTCTAGGCGCTCGCGCTTGCCCCATTCGGATGCGTTCTCCGCCTGAAGATGCTCCAATTCAGTGCGAAGTTCCGTGAGGCTAAAGTGGTCCGATAGTTAGGCTTAAGGCAAAATATATAGAGTGTTCCTGCTTACCGACGCTCCAGATTCTCACGAGCGGCAATCTCCTCCTGTAATGAGTTGTTAACGATACGCATCTCAGCGCGGTGTTGCTCCTGAAGAGTTAGAAGCTCGCGCACTGCCTCCTGTTTGGCCGATCGCATCTCCTCCTGACGTCCCCGCACGTCCTGAATCTCCAGCGTCAGCTTCTCAATGCTCTTGTGCAGCTCCAGCTTTTCACTACGAAACAAGTCTCAGTTTCAGGAATTAAGTCTGTTAAAAGAATAGAGTTTACTCACTCCCTTTCCGCTTGTAGAGTTTTCTGAGCCTCATCCAGACGCAACTGGAGCATAGATATTTTCTGCAGCAAGTAGTCCTCGTCAAAGTCATCCTTGGACAATTGCTGAATCAGGCGCTTTTCCTCTGCAGCTGCCGCCTCATCCAACTCGGTCAGATGCTTGGGCATGGCCCCTTTCAGGGCAAACTCCTCGATGTCCAGATCCTTGACATCGTTGGGCAACTTGGTGACCAAGCCATCCTCGCTATTGACATTTTTCAAACCATCCGATGAGATGTCCGGCGAGCAGTTCGCGTCCCGTCCGTTGGCCTCAGCATCCTCGCTGGTGTCGGCACGATGAAACTGGCCGGCGTGCTTCATCATTAGCGAGTGAACCTTCTCCATCTCCTTCTTCAACTGCGTGATCTGCAGCTCGAGATCGTTTTTCTCCCGCTTTAGGGAGTGAGCCTCCTTCATCGCGCCGTCCAGTTTGAGGCTTAATTGCTTGGACTCCTCCCGGGCTTTATTCCGCTCGTTGCGGACCTACGAAAAGTGAAAAGGTTTGTTATTTGATACCGGCGATATTGAACCAACTTGGGAACCATGGCAACCGTGATTACCTTACTCCACTTCTCCCGCCAGTTGGCTGTGCAATCGGACCTGTAATGGGTAGTGTCTTGGTTAACAGATGGTCGAGATTTGGCAGTAGGCTCTCCACTTACCACCACTTCATTGTCTTCTCCATTTGCGCCGCCCTGGCTCGAGCTTCGTGAAGTTCCCTTTGCCTCTGGGACTATGGGAGAAAAGACCGAGTAGTGTTTAAAATATAAATTAAGGACTTATCCCGGCTACGAACCTCACGTGCCTCCCATTCCGTCTCTCCGTATCTAGCCGACATTGTGGTCCCGATAACTTCGTTGGCCAGTGGGCGTCTGCTGACGCCCACGGGGGCTGCAGCTGCACTCTGTGTCGTGGATGCGGCCTGTGACATTTCACTGGCGTCCTTTCGCAAGCCCCGGTATGTATCCTACTTCACTAAAAACTGCCTAGCTGATCTGTTGCATTGCGGTTAGGTTTCTTGCAGTTTTAATGGAGCAAAGCTGAAACTGAATACAGAAAATAAATTGCAGTGCCATTCGCCTGCGAACGCCAACAGCTGTTATTGTTTACTAGTCGCTGTGAATGGCCATTCCGAAACTGCGCAGGGCTGCCAAGTGCTTTCAAAGGAAACCACAGATCCATAGTTAACTAGTTAACTAATTATTGATAGTTGATAAATAGCTACTTTCTGTATTAGCCCGCGTCAAGTTTTATTGGTTCCATGGTTTTAGTGTGCATAATAGTAAACCGAACTTTTTAATAAAAGTTTATGGCACCATCATCACTTGTTAACTTATCGCTCACTTACTCTTAATTCCAACAATGCTGTTTTCATTTAATAATGATAAGATCAAATCCATATTTTTAAAGGAAAATTAATTCATTAACAACTAAACGACTAAACGATTTAATGAACACCCTATATATTTTTTTTGCATACCTTGCAACCCTAAAAGTAAAAAGAGCTAACGTGAAAGGGTCTCACTCGAAAAGCCGCTATAAATCTTAAAAATTGTTTTTCTCTTAGCTGACTGTAAAATATACTGTTAAGGCATGGCTAAACATCATCCTGATTTGATTTTCTGTCGCAAGCAACCTGGCGTAGGTAAGTTTCCAAAGAACTTGGGTACTTCAGTGATGCTTACGTTTTTTTCCACCCCATCCCCATGCGGCAGCCATTGGACGCCTGTGCGAGAAAGACGATGGAAAGTGCGTGATCTGCGACTCCTACGTGCGCCCCTGCACCCTGGTCCGCATCTGTGACGAGTGCAACTACGGATCCTACCAGGGAAGGTGCGTCATCTGCGGAGGTCCCGGTGTTTCAGATGCCTACTACTGCAAGTCCTGCACCATTCAGGAAAAAGACGTAGGTTGCGAGAAAATTCATGGGGAATGGTTATTTTACTATGTATATTCTTTCTTTCAGCGCGACGGCTGCCCCAAGATCGTGAATCTGGGCAGTTCCAAGACTGACCTGTTCTACGAACGCAAGAAATATGGGTTCAAACAGAAGTGAGTATTCCAAACAAATCCAAAACATACAACCGATATTGTACTCTTTAAGGCTTAACTGCTTGGACTGCAAATATTTTAAAAATTTATTTCGATCTGCAACTGTTACTAGTTGTTTGGTTTAAGAAATTTAGTTATTTTTTAATACCACCCATTAATAACATTATTTCTCTTTACAGCTATTGATGCGCTCTCCACTACCTCATACATTTCTAATAAATTTTTTATTGTAGTTTAATACATAAACAGAAGGTTTTGATAAATGAATATTTGGAATTTCTTCTTATGTCTAGACGGCTAGCAGTTTCTCCCCTCCATCGAGGTCGTATTGCAGGCACAGACGGTCGAACTCCGATGATTTCTTGTCCAGGTCGGTGACAAAGTCGCTTTTGGGATAGAACTGCCGCAGCTGCTCCAGGTTGCGAGTGATGGCCTCCGCCGGCTTGGCCGTGAGATGAGCCAGCACCATCAGGTTGATTAGGGTGTCGTAGTCGTTGTGCTTCTTTAATAGCGATTCGCGCAGCACTGAATCGGCCTCCTCGTACCGCTCCAGGCCCAGATGGACCACCGCCTGGCCGTTGAGCAGTCCCGGTGTAGGCTTGAACTTCTCGCAGAACTCCTGATAAATGTGGAAGGCGTCCTGCATCTGCTCAGTGCCCTGGGCGAGGGCCACCCACGCCTGTGCTAGCTGCGTCAGTGTAGCGTCGTCGCTGATCTCCTGCATCTTGGCCACCAGCTGCTTGGCCAAATCCACGCGGTGTAGGCGCAGCAGGCACTGCACGGACAGAGCCATGGACTCCAGATTGGTGGAGCCGTGCAGGATCTTTAGGGCGTTCTCGAACTGCCCATCGTGGCAGTACACTATGGCGGTGGCGATGTGCCAGATGTTGGTCTCGTCCTCCTCCCCGGCCACCTTGTCCGTGAGCTTCTCCAGCAGCTCCTCCGTCCGCGAGGGTTGTTCAAACGCTTCATGAACAAGGCGCAGAGCTTGCAGGGGCGTGGCATTGCCCTCCTTGATATCTGAGGCCACTATACGACCGGAATCGATGGCCAAGTAGGAGAGGTACATGTACGACAGCAGCTCAGATCCTGCGGTTCCCTGCTCCGGCAGCACAAAGTTGATCGAGCCCATGAAGTTGCCGATGTAGTACTCGTTGCGGGCATCGAACAGCGCCGAGTTGGTGTCCTCTTCGTTCTGTTGACGGCTCATTTTGCTGATTATTTGTTAGTTCGTAAAGAAAACAAAATTTTTTTTGGGCTGAGTTGGCCGTCGTGTTGTCAAAGTGTGCCCGTTGCATACAAACTTAAAAACGCCAAGTTTGGTCTTATTGTTTTAATAACCACTTTATGAAATCAAATTTTAAAATTATCTAAATTGCTGAATCTGATAATCATTTATATGTTTCTCTAATTTAAACGCACAAGAACCTGTTGTCTGATTTCCAAAGAAATACCAAAAATGCAAAATTCATATTTTTACTTCTTTTTATTTTTTAACAAAAACTATTTTTTGAATAACCAAAGTTAAAGTTAATATTAAAATTCAAATTAGGATCGTTTTAGATCTAATGTCCCATTAATAGCATTTTATAATAAAATATTATTTGTTTTTTACCAACAGACATACATAAAAATATACGTCTGCATAAATATTGTTTTTTAAAACATTATATTGCTGCTTTGAATACCCCTTATCTTGTAAAACTCCCAGATATTAGTTCGAAAGCTTTATTATGCGTTTAATAACGATTTAGCAGTGCCAATCCGGTTTGACTTGTTGTACTGACAAATTCAGCTTTCAGTACCATACAAATTGCGGGTTGAGTGAACACACATTTCTTTGCTTTTCTACTCTCAGTTTTGTAGTTCAACGTTTTTGATTTCTTATCAGGAATGTATAATCCGAAGAGCAAAGACCTTGATCGGGAGTATTTTCCCAGTTATCATACCACCAGGTTTCAGGATCAACCGGAACCGAATATGGCCGTGCAGGAGCACTTTATTGGGCTAACGAAGCAGCGTATGTAAATGGGTCACCTTATTAGACCAGATGTAAGAGTAATATTGCAGATGAAAGGGACCTGACCGAGAAACAGGGCATAAGTGTGGACCACTTGCGCTATGGAGGGGGTCGTCGGTTGGTGGATGTGTTCTACAACGAAAGCACCACCAATCAGGCGCCACTTTTCGTGTTCGTTCATGGGGGTTACTGGCAGATGCTGGACAAGAGCACATCCTGTTCCATCGTGGGTCCTCTGGTGCGGCGTGGATATCGCGTAGCCGTCATGGACTACAACCTGTGCCCCGATGTCACCCTCGAGACGTTGATGAAGGAGTTCGCCGGATTCATCAACTGGATCTTCGACTATGCCGAACTGACCAATGTCCTCGAGATCACTTTCGCCGGACATTCGGCCGGCGCCCACTTGCTCGCCCAGATCCTCCAGTCCCAGGTGGGAATCAACCCCCAGAGGAGCAAGAAGGTGTGGGCCTTGGTTCTCCTGTGCGGCGTTTACGATTTAAGGGAACTGTACAATCTGGAATCGGTTAATCCTAAAAATATTCTTGGCCTAACTGAGCGGAATGTGCAGGCCGTGTCACCCATGCTGTGGGAATACACCGATGTAGTCATTTGGAACTCCACCAAGATCTACGTGGTCGCCGCGGAGCACGACAGTACCACCTTCATCGAGCAGAGTCGTCGCTTTGCCGAGCTGCTTAAAAAGACTGGATTCCGGGCTAGCTTTAAACTCTTTCCAAAGTACGACCATTTCGACATTATCGAAGAGACGGCCATTGACGAATCGGAGGTATCCCGGTTCCTGCGCAACATTCGGATTGAATAAACGAGCCGACCTCTTTTCTCAGTTATTGTTTCTCACCGTTCTGTTTATTTTGTACAACTAACTTAGCCTAGTAGTATTCCATATGTACACTAACGTATTTTGTGGCTTGTACTCAGGGGTACGGTTTTTGCAATAAAATAGCGTGGCAAAATTTTTACGGATGATTAGAGCATCAAATTTTTTTAGGAGCGACAGTCATGTTTGAACATATTAAGCAATTTTAAATCTAGGAGCGTTACTAATTTATGCGAAAAATAGATAAGATTAACGTTAGTGTTTGCTTTAAATTATGCATATTTAATTTGACCTTTTTTCCTAATTGTGCAATACAAATACCAAAATATTTTGAAATCTTAATTGTTGTGTACTATTTAAATAGTTATAAAATTTGGTGTCAGTATTATTAATTTAATAAATTATGATTTTTTTATTTCTTTAGCAAGACAATGTAATGAATCTATGAAATAGAACGACGATATCTTGGCAAGAAAAACTTCAGTTTAGCGACATTCAAGTTAAGAATATTTAAATCAACAAACAGTTTCAAAATGGTGTAAATGTGCTCAAAAATTACTCTTCGCCCCAAAAAAACTTTGTAAGTAAACTAAATCATCTTACAATATGTGGTTACGTGCCGCTTAAGCAAACAAAAAGGGATAACATGTAGGAAATCAAAGCTAATCAGGTATAAATTGAAAGAATTGAATAAATAAACTTAATTAGGGTTGCAGACTAGGCTGCGGTTTCGACTCGTTCTATGAATCCTCATCCGAAATGATTATCTCGGCGGTAATGTCGGGCTTAACAGTCGGCTTTAGGCTGGGCTTCGCATTCATTTCCTGCCCGTGGACGAAGTTGGCATTCAGACTAGAGACGGACATAATCTTTAGCTTCCCGTTGGGTGGGGCTACGCCATTCTTACTGTCAGTCTCTGTTTTTGTTATATCTATCACAACCTCCTCGGCTGGTTCTGCTTCTGCCTCGGAGTCGGCGTCACTTACTTCTCCGTTGGCCTTGAAGTTATCCACGAAATCGTCGACATCCTCCTCCTCGTCATCCGTGTCCGACTCCTCCTCCGAGTCCACTCCGTCTTCTTCTTTGGAAACCTTTACATCGATGGACAGTTTTTCCGCCTTTCCATGAACCGAGGAACTCTTTATTAAAGCTGCGATGGCGGCCGCTTTAGCTGCTGCCTGAGCACTTGTGCAGGGCTTGTCGTCATCCTCGGCCAATGCAGCCAACCTGGCGGCCTCCTCATCAGCTTGTTCCTGTTTCAGCCTTTTCTCCTTGAGACGCGCCTCTTGACGTTCCTCCGCATTGAGATCCTGCTCGCGGGCATACCTAAAATTATTGAAAAATTAGACTTGAACATTATTTTGAATTCAGGGCTGCTTTTGTTCTCGATAATAATCAAATGTAGATTATATATTGATTAGATTTGAGTTTTTCTTCTTTCATCTTCTTTAAGTATTTAAAAATGTGTTATTTTACTCCGAACTTGTTTGCAATGAATCTGCATTCCGAAATTTCAGTTAAGAAAAATTAACACCTAAATAATATATCTTATAGTGTTTGAAAAGCAATTTAAGCAAATATATAAAAAAAATAACCTATTAGTAAATTGCGACTATTTGAAAATATATTCAAAACTAATAAAGTTCAAAATTGTTACTTGTTCGTTGGTGTGAAATCTACATAGTCGTTCGATCTTAAAGATTTTTAAACTTTAGCAAGCTGATAAAAACATATTCAAACATACTCTATATAACGAAAGGAACGGCTAATTTTTTTGATTAGTTTCTAAAAAATATATCTATACATAAAAGTCAAACCATATCGGACAGAACAGATCTGAAATTCTTGATTTGTGCTCACTTTTCCAAGACATCACTTATTTTTGTTTTCTTTTTGTTGTTCTCCTTTAGCTTGGCGAGCAACTCGGGGTCGCTGGAAGCTGGATCTTTGACATTTGCGGTAAAGTGCGTAACAGTTTCGTAAAGATCAGTCTTCCGACGTGTCTGCAGAAGTCGTCCGACTTTGGCAAAGGCATCATGGGCTGCAAAATGATAAATTTAGTACTTCATTTTCGTTCTTTTAGTTTAAACATTTAAGCCATGCCTTACCAATTCTCTTCATCTCAAAGCTAGCTAGTCCGAGTCCTTTCTCCTTGTTACAGTGCTCGAGAAGCTGGAGGACGTCATGGTAGTCTGGGAACTCCCGCATCCGGTTGACAAAGGCCGAAAGTGTGCTATTGAACTGGGGATAGGCCGTATCCTTAAATTGGATTGGTTTTTTCAGTTGGCTACGGGCACTCTTGCTCTCGCCGGTTAGATCACAGATTTTCTCGTATATTTGACAGGCGCGCTTTTTAAAACGCTCCAGCTGCAAATAGCTGGAGTCCTCGTCGTTCCAGTCCACATCCGCCTCCTCCAACATCTTAATCCGCTTAGTTAAGGTGTACAGGGTGCAGTTTAACTTCCGGATGCGCTCATCCTTTCGTTTGTCGGTAGTGGGGGAAACGGGCTCCGTCTCCGACTCCATTTCTGGTTCCTCCTCCCCTTCTACCTCTTCCCCTTTTTTCACTGGACTCTGGTCCTGCACCCTAACCATATCATCTGGCTGCTGTTCCTTAGGTGTAGATGATCTTGGATGTGAAGACCCTTTTGCTGGCCGCTTCGCCTTCTCTGGAAGAACTACTTTGGCCCGCCGTCGCGCCTTTAGCTCATCAACCACGCCCTTGAGGTGCACGTACACCATGTCCGATTCCTCCCTGATCCGCGTAATGGCCACTTCGAGCAGCTTTCGAAATCCACGCGACAGCACGAAGCTCTCGTGCACACTGTAATAGTACTTGGTCAATTTTCCCTGAGCCAAGCGCTCCATGTCCTCCGATTTGTCCACCTCGCGACACAGCTTAAGAAGTGCAGAGTACTCAGGTATAAAAGGTGCCCTTGCTGGCGGCGATGATTCCTTAGGTTTCTCTTTGGGAATTGAAATTTCTGGCTTTGGCTTCTTCGGCGGGGTCTCTGGTAGTTCGTCTAAATCCACAATTTCCGTGACAGCATAATCCTGTTTCATGGCTTGCATGGTTTTTATGGGTGGAGTTATCATAGCAGGTGCTTTCACTTTACTGGGTTGTTTATCTGTCGTACCTGACTTGATCGTCTCCGCTTTCTCCACGGACTTCCTCCTGCGCTCCGTCTCCGGTTTCTCTGTGGGCGGCGTGGTGGGTGGTGACTCCACGAGGACAATTGTGGGAGTCGCAGTGGGCTGCATCTGCATCTGCTCCCGCTGCTTTTGCTCTTGCTGCTGCTGCTGCTGTTGCTCAAACAAGTGCCTCCGCCACTCCTCGTCGGATTTCTTAAGCACGGTAATGGGCTGGATGCGCTTGGCGCTGTTAACTGGAGCCCTGGTCACTGGAGAAATGCTCGCCCCTGGCAAGGAGTTCAATTTAAAAGCAGCCGCTTTTGCAAGCTGCTGTTGCTGCACTGCTGTCGGTATCCCAGCTGGCGGGGGTGTTGTCGTGGGCGTCAGTTGGGGCGTAATGCTGGTGGTGGGCGGCAGATTCAGCAGCAAGGGCTCGTTCAAGGCGGCCGCACAATGAGGTGGAGTGGCCAGCAACCGCTGCGGCGGAGTGGCACTCGCGGTGAATCCCTGAAGATTGGTCGAAGTCAGTGGAGGCGTTTCTGGCTTTTGGGATGTGCTTCTGAAGGGCAACGTGCGGGCCGCACTAAGGATTGCGGCTGTAGGGTTGATAGCTCCAGGGACCTGAGGCTTCATCTGGAAGCCGGCTTTGCTTTTCGGAGGCAAAGGCGTGATCTTGGCTACCGTCGTTGGTCTCACTATTGGTGGACGGTAGGCGAAGGGGGGTGTTAGCACTGGCGCAAGTGGCGGTGACTGCTTTTGCACTAGATGAGCGGGTGGCGGTGTCTGGTGGGGAAATATCTGATTTGGAGGAGCTTTCGTCACTGTTGGCGCTTTTTGCAGCATGGGTAGTTTCTGTATAGTCATCGATTTGTGTGTAATTTGGTTTACGACGGGCAGCGACGGTTTCGGAGAGAATAGCGGCTGCTGAACTGGACTCTGGGTGCCCATCACTGAATTATGCAACTGCTGAGCCAGTTGTGCCTTAGTTGACTGCTGTTGGGCCACCACCAAAGGATTTGGTTGGAATTGTTGCTGCCGCAGTAGGCCCATTGTAGCCTTCGGAAGTGGCGGCTGACCCAGGAGAGCCTTCTGATGCTGCTGTATTTGTCCTACGATCGTCTTTTGCGAAAGCTGTTGCTGTTGAAGCTGACCTGTGTTGGGTCTCTGTTGATGTTGGGTATGTCCTACAGGTACTTTTTGCTGTTGCTGTTGTTGTTGTTGTTGCTGTTGTTGTTGATGTTGCTGTTGTTGTTGCTGTTGTATTTGTCCTAGAGAAGCTCTAGGTTGTTGGAGTTGCCCCAGGGACGTCTTCTGTTGCTGTTGTCCTACGAGGTTTTTTGGTTGCTGCTGAAGTTGTCCTGCGACTGCCGTTTTTTGATGAAGGAGTTGTTGAAGCTGTGCTGGAGGCTGATTTAGCTGCTTTTGCAACTGGGCGCCCAGCAATTTCTGTTGCTGTTGCACTTGGGCGCCCAGTTGTTTCTGTGGCAGCTTGGCGCCCAGCGATCTCTTTTGCTGCTGCAGTTGGCCCAGAGAAGCCCTTGGTTGCTGCTGTCCTGAAATGAGCTTCTGTTGTCCCGCTAGCGCCTTGTGTTGCTGCAGCATTTGGCCCATCGAAGCTTTCGGCTTCGTCAGACCTAGCGTTATTGGTTTTTGCTGCTGGAGCTGTGGCGGTTGCAGCGGCTGTGGCTGAGGCTGACCTACCGCAACCGGCAGTTGAATCTTCGCAGGTGTCGTTTTTGGAGCTACTCCCATGGTCGGCTGTATGACTTTGGATCCGGCTGCTACCCGTATTTGATTTCCGGTCGTCACCCTCACTTGGTGACTGGGCACGCTGGTTATCAGGGCATTCGGACTAGGCGCCTTGCTGCTCACCGACCAGGCCACTTTCTGGGCGGCACCGATCTTAACCTGCTTGGCGTTTACATTGTTGTTGTAGCTGTTGGTGTTGTTATTGTTGCTCTCGGCCAGGGAAATGGTCAGATTTCCATTTGTGGTCAGAATGTTTTTCTGATGCTTGGTGACTGTGATTCCACTGGGGATGTGCATGGATCGGAGGGGATCCACTGGAACCGGAGGCGTATTCTTTGCAACTGGTCCTACTCCTGGTACTGCCACCGAAGATCCCAAGGAGGCCTTTGGTATGTTCACAAGTTTAACTGGAAAACTTTGCCTACCGCATGACGCCAGTTGTTGCGGGGCATCCTCCAGTCGTCGACGCTTCGGTCCTGGGGGCGACTGTGAAGATAAGTTGAAGCTTAAATTATTTTTTATTTAGAGTTTATTTACCAAATTTTCTTTTATTTTAAATATTTTTATAAATTTGTAAAAACGTCAACTGCTAACATATTGTAATATATAGCTATTAAAAAAAACCTATCATTTAAAAGTTCTGTAGTACAACAAAGTTGAAATAATTTATATAAATCTTCGATTAACATTGTAATAATATTTAAATGGTTCATTTTTTTGTTTTTTTTTAAATTCATAATAAAATTTGTTTTTATTGAAGGACCTAATTCTTAATTTGTTGTGAACTTTTCATGATTTGTGCACTTAAACCAATGATTAATTAAAAAAAAAAGAGCTTAAAGTTTTCTAAGATTATAAGAACTGTTCGTAAATATATATTTAGAAATAATTTTTTATTACAAGAAAATATCAAAACAAACCCAAATAAAGTTTAAATAATAAAAAAAGGAATTTCAGTACCCACAAGTTTCCCTAATTAAACTCTATAAACACTTGGGAAAACTCGTTTCATAGAATATTTAATTGGCTTTAAGAGGTTGTTCGTAATTTCCTAGATTTGTTTTAATTCAAAACTGCAAGCGACCTGTTGGCTCCGATGCATTTTAAATTTCAATGAAAATATCAACAAACGAAAACCACAACCGCCCGCCAAGGTGTGTGTGTGCGTGTAAGTGAGTTCGGCCTTATTGGAGAGTTTCGAGCGCGCGCTTTGGAGAGTTTTTTGAGTTCGAACCATATCAGCGGAAACGCTTTTCCGCTTTTTATCTGGCGAATTGCGTCTTAAGCCAATTCTCTCCAGGAGAGAAGCGTCACAGCACACACACGCTTACTTGTTCACGCCTAACGCAATTAAAGTCCAATATTCGCCACTGCAATTGCAATATTCGCCGACTCTCCATTCTCGCAGTCTGGCAGCACTGAACCGCTTTTGCATTTGTGTGAGTTTCCCTGCATGTTCGTGTCTGCTCGCTCTCAATAAAAGCAGCGCGAAAAAAAAATAATTCCACACTATGTGAAACACGCACACACACTCAGCCAGCGAGCCTATTTAAATCCAACTGTACTTTTTTACACACACATTGGCCAAACACGCTGGGAAATTTAGATATTACCTCTTCGTCGGACTCCGAGCTAAGATCTACACAAATAACCGAAGCAGACATTATTCGCCCGAAAATGGCCCGCACCGAATTTATTCACTTTACTCGCAGCGCCTCGATTTGCAGGCTTTTCTTCGCATTTGGACTCGCTCCCGTTGTTGCCAGCTAGTTTTTCACGCATATGTGCACGACGACTGTGTTTGTTCCGAATACTCAGCACTATATGTGGGATATGTCTCCCACATATTTATACGCTCGCCTACTAATTGCACTGCGTGTGTTTGTTTGTTGTTAATTGGAGATTTGGAGAGTTGTAGAGCTCTCACAGTCAATAGACAAATTTAGGTGATTTCTGCACTTGGCGTTTTTGGTGTTTTTTGGAAATCAAAGAGGACTTTAATGTACAGTGCTCACTCCAAAATAGCTTATTAATGAAAAATGCCGAGAATACAATTTCTTCACTATAAAGTCAATAAATCTGTTTCTTGACAATTGGCTATATGGTTTTAATTGAATGCTTTAACTCACACTCGCGATTTCATGCAAACTCTTTAATCAGCTGCTAAGGTAAAGTTGATGCGAAGTAAATTATGCAAGCGTTCACACAGCAGAGTTGATGCGAAATGGTAAATTGCTACGAAATATATTTTTTCCTAACCGGTAAAATATCTTAATATTTTCATCAGCATATATTTTTAATGTAAGTATTATAGCGCATATTGCACAATTCGAAAACTGTGACCACCAGTTAAGGAAATTACTATTGCTATTGCGAAAAATGAAATCAACGCAAAGAATGCACTTTAAAGAAAATTTAATTACATTTTATACTATTTTTCAAGGAAAAGATTTCCGTAATTAGGCACCAAAACATATATAAAATTATCATATTCTCACCGGTCCTCCGTGGTTTAATATAGAAGCGTAAATAAACAAGAAAATTTACTATTCTTATAGCTGCAAGGAATATAAAAGCTTGGCTTACCGAAATTAGTTTCCTCTCCTGTAAAGTTAAAAAGCCTATTTGAATCTACCCTGCCCGAGTTTCCTTTCGAGTTAAGGGTTATCGGAGTTAACGCATTAACGCAGACCGACTGTTTAATCTTGAAGAGTCCGCGTCTTGTGGTAGGAAAACAGCTTTTTCATACTTTCATTTGTAAATAAAAAATAATAAAATCTAGGAAGCTAATACGTTTATTCATGCGAAATGTCGCAAATATGCAAAGTGAACTAGCAAAGGATGCCTAGAGGAAATTTTACATCATAAGTTATCAATTATTCGATGTTTAATTATATATCAATACAAGTTAATACAAAAAAAAATCTTCAGTTCTAAAACAATTAAAACAAGAAAGGAAAGCTAACTTCGGGCGGAGCCGAAGTTGATATACCCTTGCAGAATACTCTGTAAATTATATTCTCCAAAATTATTCATATGATGCATTCTTAATACTCATAAAAAATCCCAACTTCCTAACTTTAAAAACACCAAAGTTATGGCATTTCCAATCATTCAGTTATGTATATGGCAGCTTTAGAATATAGTCGGCCGATCCTTATGAAATTTAATATGTCGGATTGATTGGGCAAAAATAAAACCCATAGAAAATCCCAACTTCCTAACTTAACAAACACCAAAGTTATGGCATTTCCGATCAAACAGTTATATGGCAGCTATAAGATATAGTCGGCCGATCCTTATGAAATTTGGTAGGTCGGATTAATTGGCCAAATATAAAACCCATAGAAAATCCCAACTTCCCAACTTTACAAACACCAAAGTTATTGCATTTCCGATCAATCAGTTATATAGCAGCTATAGGATATAGTCGGCCGATCCTTATGAAATTTGGTATGTCGGATTGATTGGCCAAATATAATACCCATAGAGAGTCCCAACTTCCTAACTTAACAAACAGCAGAGTTATGGCATTTCCGATCAATCAGTTATATGGCAGCTATAGGATATAGTCGGCCGATCCCGGCCGTTCCGACTTATATACTGCGTGCAAAGGAAAGAAGGGTGTGTGCAAAGTTTCAATTCGATATCTTTAAAACTGAGAGACTAGTTCGCGTAGAAACAGACAGACGGACAGACAGACGGACAGACGGACAGACGGACAGACGGACAGACGGACAGACGGACAGACGGACATGGCTATATCAACTCAGGAGGTGATCCTGATCAAGAATATATATACTTTATAGGGTCGGAGATGTCTCCTTCACTGCGTTGCACACTTTTGACCAAAATTATAATACCCTCTGCAAGGGTATAAAAAGGATATGTACGCTTTGTTTTGCTTTAAATCGCCAGAAAACACTTTCTGACTTAATTTCGCAGTACTATTTACTAGCTAAAAATGTTATATTTAACAGAGTTAGTGTGACCGCTCGTTAGGGCTGCGCAAATACCGCCGATTTCCGTATTATCTCTGACAGGGTGGAATAATCTGACGTCCCAACCGCGGTCTCACTGATTTGGACACGTCGACTTCGTTCGCTTGTTCGTATCTTTCATTCGGTTTTTGAAATTTAAAGCGTTCGCTGCGCACTCAGAAGTGAGACTTTCTAATTTTTGTATAGAAAGTGCAATAACTAAGCTCCCCACTCAGTTCCCAGGCGAGCGCTAACACAAGTCCAGCAAAATGGGAAGTAAGTAAAGCCCAGCCATGTCGAAAATCCCGGGAGTGCAGCGGTTTTGTGTGAAAGTGCCGCCCTGCGATGCCGATTCCGCTCGCACCCCCGTCGCTTATTGCTTACGTATACAAAAAAGATTCGGCGTGCGCCGCTGACAGTGGCTAAAAACTGCAATTAAATAAAAAGTCCGCTAACGCGTCTAATGCAATACTTTTCATTCACTATTTGCAGTCAAGTTCCTGGAAGTAATCAAACCCTTCTGCAGTATACTGCCGGAAATCGCAAAACCCGAGCGCAAGGTGTGTATAAATCTTTATTTTAATAAGCAAAACGTCTAGGGATTTTCCCAACAATGCAGTGTTTGGTGTAATTCGCATCTGGTGTTCAATTAGCGGCTTTTCACCGTTTTTACGTGTATAATTTGCCGAAGTTAATATACCCCTACTTCTGCCAGTGTTGCCAGCGCACGAGTTTTAGTGTTGCTTTCACTTGTCAAAAACTGAACATCGCCACGCAAACAGTTTGCTCTTCATTTAGTAGGAGGCAAGCAACAACAAAGACAACCCAAAATAAAAAAGTGAACCTCAAATGTGATGAAATATATAATTTTATTAACGATTCACTCATTTTACCCATTCATGTATAATTTTTTAAATACAAAATGTTATCCCGAATTAGGGTTCATGTTTTTTTTAATCCACAGAGTACTTGAGAATAGCCAAATCTTATACTTTTATGTGTTTTTTTTGACGTTTTCATTCATAAATACCCTAATTTCTACCTTATTGCATCTACTACTTTTCTTATCACCTGGCTACTTGTTGCCCATACTCCTATTTTACCCACACAACGTCAAACATGCGCTACGTGGAAATGTCAAACTTCGGCTCACCCGAAGCCGAAATCCGAAGCACTGTCGACGTCAGCTTCGTTTGTTTTTGTTGCCCCCCAAATGACATGACTGCGATGACGACGACTAACTTCCCATACGTTTTGATTTTGTTTAAACATTGGAAAGCAGACATGTAGGTCAACAAAGCGGCAAGTCTATTTCCCAAGCTTACTTTCAGGGGTAAAAAAAGAGTTTGATTTTAATTCGCCAAAATTAAATTTTAAAACTAGACAAAATGTAGACCAATGTTAAGAAAAGTAAATGAATTGTGTTTGTAATAAAACATCGTAATAAGATTAAAGCTAATTAGGACTTGAATAAAAGAAAGACGTTTATGCTGATACAACAAATTAATTGGCGATATGATTTATAACATGTAATTTGAAAATAAAAATAATCATCTTAAAAGTTCTGCCTAAATAAACTGAATATATACAGCTGACAAAACATGGAATGTCTACAAAGAAAAAGTCTACTGAAATGTGGCACGTCCTAAAATGTACTCCCTTTTTTGATTTCAGATCCAATTCAGGGAGAAAGTACTATGGACTGCGATCACGCTGTTCATTTTCCTGGTCTGTTGCCAGATCCCGCTCTTCGGCATCATGAGCTCCGACTCTGCGGATCCCTTCTACTGGATTCGTGTGATCCTGGCCTCCAACCGTGGTACCCTCATGGAGCTGGGCATCTCGCCCATCGTGACCTCGGGCCTTATCATGCAGCTGCTGGCCGGAGCGAAGATCATTGAGGTCGGTGACACGCCCAAGGACCGTGCTCTGTTCAACGGCGCCCAGAAGCTCTTCGGCATGGTGATCACCATCGGACAGGCCATTGTCTATGTCATGACCGGCATGTACGGCGATCCGTCGGAGATTGGAGCCGGTGTCTGCCTGCTGATCATTATCCAGCTGTTCGCAGCTGGTCTGATTGTGCTGCTGCTGGACGAGCTCCTCCAGAAGGGATACGGTCTGGGATCGGGTATCTCCCTGTTCATTGCGACAAACATTTGCGAAACTATTGTGTGGAAGGCATTCAGCCCCACCACTGTGACGACGGGACGCGGTACCGAGTTTGAGGGCGCTGTGATTGCTCTGTTCCACCTGATGGCCACCAGGAACGATAAGGTGCGCGCCCTGCGAGAGGCCTTCTACCGCCAGAACCTCCCCAACCTGATGAACCTGCTGGCCACCGTGCTGGTGTTCGCTGTGGTCATATACTTCCAAGGCTTCCGCGTGGACCTACCCATCAAGAGCGCCCGCTACCGCGGCCAGTACAGCAGCTACCCCATTAAGCTGTTCTACACCTCCAACATTCCCATCATCCTGCAGTCCGCGCTCGTGTCCAACTTGTACGTCATCTCCCAGATGCTGGCTGTCAAGTTCCAGGGTAACTTCTTCATTAACCTTCTGGGTGTGTGGGCTGATGTTGGAGGCGGCGGCCCGGCCCGCTCTTATCCCATCGGAGGATTGTGCTACTACCTGTCGCCCCCCGAGAGCGTGGGTCACATCCTCACCGACCCCATCCACGCCTTGCTTTACATCGTCTTTATGTTGGGCTCCTGCGCTTTCTTCTCCAAGACTTGGATCGACGTGTCAGGCAGCTCGGCCAAGGATGTAAGTATATTCTTGGGTTCTAGTTTCTGCATCAAAGACTTACTAATCTATTCCTATTTCCCCCCTGCAGGTTGCCAAGCAGCTGAAGGAGCAGCATATGGTGATGCGTGGCCATCGCGAGAACTCGATGATCCACGAGCTGAACCGCTACATCCCGACGGCGGCTGCTTTCGGCGGTCTCTGCATCGGAGCTCTGTCTGTGATGGCCGACTTCCTGGGCGCCATCGGCTCCGGAACGGGTATCCTGCTGGCGGTGACCATCATCTACCAGTACTTTGAGATTTTCGTTAAGGAGCAGTCCGAGATGGGCGGCATGGGCACGCTGCTGTTCTAAGCAGCCGAGAAGATCATCCGCGATCCAATCACAATAAGTAATACTTCATCATACTTCCCACACGCTCGCTCCCATTAAAAAACAAACTAAACTACGTGCTTTGTTTTTTTCGTCCTCTGTCCAAAATCCCAAAATCCCACAAGCGTAAATTGTAAGGCCTTCGGCTGCTATATCATCTTCCCGATCAACAGAAGCGTACATAAAAGGGCATGAGAGAACCTTTATTTTGAATAGTTTTTAGTTTTATTCAAATGTGAGACTACATTGCTTAAGTTCAATATTTCTGCGAATTGATTGAATTTGAATGCAATTACTTGTTTTAATATTAAATCAATTGAATTATACTTTAAAAACAAACGTGAATGAGACATTGAAATTATTAAACCGATGATGTACATCAAACGAACACATGCATACAAATTGTCATAATAAAACGTAAATTAGATAACTTTTTTAAATGAATTAATTGTTTTAATGCAGGATCGGTTTTGCAGAAGTCAGCCAATTTCCCATTGCTCAAGTAACTGACTGTTTTCTATACATAAGCATTTGTCATCATCGGTGGTGACACAGAAATATCTTCCCACCAAATTTGTTTAAAATTTGTATATACATGAACATTTCAACCGAACTGATTTTGGTTGAAAGTGATTTCTGTGACATACTCATCACCTATTGATATAATTACCATTATTATTTTAGTCGAATTAAATTCAATAAAGCTCAGTTCAGACACTCAAGCTATTGGTGCAACATTTTTCAAGATAACTATAAAAAAAGAAAATAATGTTAAAAACAATGTTGGCCAAAACAATTTAAAATTAAAACTAAATCTAGTTTACGAAATGGCGCCAATTCTGAGCAGCAATTCTGTCGACTAAGAAAGCCTATCGACTTGCCAGTGTGGCCAAATCAAGCCGATTCAACGTATTTTCACTGGAGCACCGACTGGTCATGCTGGGGCAACAAAATGAGAAATAGTGAAGCAAAATCGTAAATATTAGCAAATGAGCAACTTTGAGGTCCCTCGAACGTGTTGAGTTTCGAGGCCCACAAACATCGAAGCGCATTTAAGATCCGCCGGATCGAGGCCACCGACCAGGAGCTCCGAGGACCACAGAAAACCCGTGCGAATTACAGGAAAAGCGATCGGTGCCATGTCAGCTCCACTGGCCAGAAACTGGCCCTACATCTGGCAGCAGCTGAACGCCCTGGTGCACAACACCTCGCCGGTGATCACCCTGATCTGCGTTGTGACCACCTTCGGCTACCTGCTCTCCTTCTCGGAGACCGCCATCCTGCTGCTCAGCGTCACGCCCGGCTACATCCTCCCCAACGGCAAGTTCTGGATATGGACCGCCTTCACCTTCTGCTTCATCGAGCTGCACTGGTGGGAGGTGGCGGTCGACGTGGTAACCGTGGGCCTCTGCGGGAAGATGCTGGAGCCCCTTTGGGGCCAGCTGGAGATGTTCAAGTTCTTTGCGCTGAGCAACTTCGGCGTCTCGCTGCTGACCACCGTATACTACCTGTTCTACTACATGGTCACCAAGAACCCTACCATACTCTTCGAAGTGCACATCCACGGTCTTGCCGGCTACGTGGCCGGCATTTGTGTGGCCGTGCGCCAGATAATGCCCGACCACCTGATCTTTAAGACGCGCTATGGACGTCTGACAAATAGGTAAGCGGTTGGTTGTGTGGAGGTAGAAATGAGAAAACACTCCTTATTGTAGCATTCAAAAGGCCCAAAGTACCATTTATCATTATTGATGTGCTCGAAACTGCTCGATAAAGTATAGAGATGGTTGGAATTTAAAAAGAAAAATAGTCTTAACACCAATATTTACATATATATAAAAAACTTGATACTTAAGCATAAAATGCATTCAAATACTCTCGTTCTTGATATTTTGAAACATGATTAAACGGATAATAAACGCTTTGATCATAAAAATCCTGCATGAGTTGAGCTAAACTTCATATTAAATTGTGTACCGGTATTGTGTATGAACTTGGGCTTGATCTGTTTTAAATTTTAATAGCTCAATCAGACCTTTGGGTTCAGAACTACATAAGTATAGATCTTGAGTTAGGTCAAAAATCTATTAAAAATAAGAACACAACAAGAATGCAATTATGAACACTTCCTTAAATCCTTTGATTTTTATACAGGAATGTTCCACTCACCGTCCTCATCATGGCCATTATCTTCTGGGCCATCGGTCTGCTGGATGGCACTTATCCGGCAATGTTTGCATCTGGATCGCTGGTCTCCTGGATCTACCTACGCTTCTACCAACACCATCCCAATGGGCGTGGTGACAGCTCGGAGAACTTCACTTTCGTCAGCTTCTTCCCGAACGTATCGCAGCCGTTTATCAGCGCGTTGGTTAATCCAATTTACAACTGTTGTTTGCGGGCGGGCGTGGTCAAGACGCCAACGCCACTGCGAACGATATCTACGGCCAGCCTGACGTCGATATCTGTGCAAATGCCGGGCGTGGATCCGCACGATATTGAGCGAAGGCGGTAAGTTCATAAGTCGTAGTTAAATGTTATGCTTATTAAGAGAGTTGAACTAATTGTCTCGATATCAATTTAATTAACTAAGTAACTTCAAGCTTTTTTAATAGTAGTTTTTATTTTTAATTATTTTGACTTTCAAAAGGGGCTGTACTTAAAAAAAATGGTTCAATGGGCTTACACGGGTATCTAAAATAGATTAACAGCAAAATTTTAATGAATACCCTTGATCGGTTTCAGACAAATCGCGTTGAAGGCACTGAGCGAGCGTTTAAAAGCCACGGACTCCACTCGTCACTCCCAGCTGCCTAAGTCGTTCCCGCAGCAGCAGCAGGTGCAGCATGCGCCGCATCAGCAGCAAAAGCATCACAGTCACGGAGGTGGGCACAGTCACAGCCATGGAACGGGCCACAGTCACAGCCACGGAGCGGGACATAGTCAAAGCCATGTGGCGGGGCATGGTCACAGTCATGGTCCCGGACCCGCTCAGATGCCGCAGCCCGAGTTCCTTAAGCCCACCGGCAGCTCCAGCCAGCTGCCCATCACAACGTCGCGGGCGGAACCCCGCATGATCAGCACAATGAGTCCGATCGCAATACCCATGCCTGCGCCACCTCCCAAGGAAGGGAATATTCCGGGCCAAGGTACTGAATCTACAACCGGAGGCGGGGCTACACTTATCAACCTGGACGACGTGCCATCCACGTCTTCAACGGCTTAGACAGCGATTGTATGCAAACATAAATGAATTTTTGATATTTAAACGAATGATCTAATGATTTACGCCCATGTTTTGTATGATTCTGCATCAAGTACGTAACCGCCCCCATCCGTGTTCCCCTTTTGTAATTACCGTTCGTGTGTTTCGTAGTGTCCTGTAGATTTACGCTTGCTTGCTGCTCACACCGCCGGCCGTGCTCCTAGGAACAGTGAAGTATAATGAGAAAAGCAAAAAAGAAATACCTTCCAGGCGTTATGAGAATAACTAGAGCCTTTACATAGACGCATACTTTCTGTTGTAGTCTTTACATGTAATTCAAAATGATGCTTTATTTAGTTAATAACTGTAAATATATTTAAAACGACAAAAATAATGTTTTGTTTGACTTGAATAGTTTGCTTGTGGTTCCTCTAAAAGCTGTTTTATACCTAACGCAGTTTATGGGCCCTCGAAATACAATTTGTACATATGTATATAGAATATACACTCCTACCAATTTGCTTCTTTGTAAATTGCGGATGATTTTACCAACTATTTTTAAAACTGTGCAGAGGTATTATAATTTTAGTCAGCCCAATTTTTTTAACATCCAATTTTTTTAACTGCAAAGATCTTCCAAAATCAGTCAGCAAATTACATAACATTCTAAGAAAAAGATAAGTATGTAAGTCCTTGGTTTGGTCCCGAAATTCACAATTTTGAAATCTATATTGATTAAAACTTTAGGAAATATATGTACTCTTATGTAGCATACATCAAGATATTTGCAATCGTAATTTCTTAAACTAATTTCTTGAAAGCGGTGGCCAATATAAATAAAGATGTTATCAACCGATTAACTGCAAATTTCAACATTGGTTCATGCAATTAAAATATGTCAGAGGACCTTTTTAAAGTACATTAAGAAAGTTTATTCTAACACTTTAAATAATTTTGGCACAGCTTTTTTGGACTACTTTTATAAAAGAAATTATTGGGAATAAACGACAAAAGATAGCAAAAAGGGATATATCCCGAAATGTTTAAAAAGCTTTCAGAAATGAATAATAAACTAGAAATAAACAAAAGATATAGTAAAATCTCTCAATTTGTTACACTTTTTGTAAGCCAAAAATATGTAGCATTGCATAAATTATTTAATGTTGCTAATGTTGCTAATCTCGGGCACCAAAAGTTGGCATTGCTAAGTGTTAACATTTTTCGACTTCGGTTTATATAACTAAATCCAAACAATTTTATGTTTTGTTAGTGGATAAGTTTAATCTTTTAATAAAATACATATATGCTTAGTTCGGCTTCCCTATCAAAAAAAATTTTAATTTGTTTGGGCGAAATCACACCTTGTTTCAAAAAATGGAAGAAAATTCCTAATTCAAAGGCATTCATATTAATCTCGTCTTTTGATGCCGTTAAATAATATATAATCTTTATAATGTCTCCAATACGTTACAAACAACTGACTTTTTAATTTAAACATTTTTTTGCCAGTTATGATGTACACCAGATGTCCTTTTTTTTGCGGTCTTGGTTAAAAAGGACCTTAGTTGCAGATTTTTTAAATGAAAAAGAAAAAGAAAGACAAGTGTGCAAGTTTTCGATGGTTTTCTAATTGTACAAGAAGAATATTAATTTTCTTTTAGAAAACAATTTTTTGTAATTAAAAGAATAGAATGTTCTTACGTGGTTCAATTTGAATTCGGTCTTTGGACCCCTTTAGCCGTTTTATGTACAGCCTTTTTTAATGTTAAATATAAATACATAGATAAATTTAGATTAGTAACTTTTAGTATATGCAATTCGATAAATAACATGACATTTAGCCAAATTAGCCTTAGAATTTTCCTTAAAATTTTTAGAGTTTACTGGCCCTTAAACTGACTATAATTGGTATGTTTTTTAGTGCCTGTGGTGTAGTTCAAAAACCCAGCCACGGCCACACTGCCAGCTGGCGCAACCGTTTGTAATCGATATCGATTCTCCGCCCAGTTCTTGGGGTCCCAAAAAAAAGCACAGCAGTTGAGCCCTGATTGTGTATTTCCAGTTTATCAAAAACCCTGCTCTGGGTGTGAATCGAACCCCGTCGGGATTAGGATGATGCCATAGGATTATCGGCGAGCACGGCACAGGCACTGCAAGAGCAATTCGCACGGCGGACGAGTGGAGCATACAGGGTGTTCCTTGCCCTGCGAAATGGGTCGCAACAACTTCGGTTCGCAGCACCAGCAGACTCATGTGAGGCGCAATGGTTAGTAGGAAAACCCCACTTAAAGCACTGATAGTGATAAAAACACAGAGGCATGAGCTGTGATAAGGGAAAAAGGCGGAAAGGCATGGACAGGAAAGCACACAAACTCAGAACAGCGAGCGTATGTAAACAATTTATTTGCTATCGCTGTTTCGTTCCGTTTTTTGGGGCCTGTGTGTGTGCGACTGTTTTTGTTTTTGTTGCTGCAGCTTTGGCTGATTTCATGCCTACGTGTGTGTTGCTTCGTGTTAAAAACAACAAAAAAGATCGCTGTAGTCGAATACCTGATACCCACCAATCACTGCCCACTCTGAAAAAAGTTTGCATACCCTAAGGCGCGGCCTACTACCAAAAGCAACTATAGAAATGTTCCGATTGGAAAAATATTTTTGATATGTACTGAGGTAAACATTTGAAATATAAATTTAATGCTTCCAAAAACAACCAATAAAATCAAATGTCAGTCCCAAAGAGTTTCGCGATTTTTGAATTAAGTTAGAATTTTCTAGGTCTTATAGTAACCGAAATCTGGAACTTTATATGAACAGATTAAACAGTTGGAAGGTCAAAGCCCATATAGTCCATAAATTTATTTAAATACCCGCTGGTTATGGAACTGGGTGTCCCTTAGTATGAGTTTTTTGTCAACATCTCCTGCTGGTAAAACCGAGCAAGCCAGCAATAATTTTATTTATGCGTGTCCTGCGTGTCAGTACGCTGCGTTCTTTTCGGACAGACTTCGCTCGCTAGTGATAATGATCAAAAACAGGCTGGAAACCTCTCCTTTTTTGGGGTTACAATCTAGACGTTTGTAAAGGTATACAAATTAGAAAAGGTATAAAAACATTTTCGTAACCATTGGTGGGTTCGATCCGACAAATTTGAGTGGAGGTTGTGGGGTCTTTAATGATATATGGTATGAGTTACACCCAAAACTGCAGTGTTACAATGTTACATTTTTAAAAAAATCGTTCTACCTCGTAACATACATTTGCACAATATACATACCTTTTTTTATTTTTTACATATAAATGGGTATAAAAAAAAAACCGGGCGAACACGTTTATATATCAAGCTTTTGTTTTGCCATATTTTCGTCAGTTCTTGGCCGACTGTTATGCCATAACCTTTCCAACAAGTCCCGATAACCCACTCAACTAGTTTGTAAGCTAGCGGGGTAACAAGTTTATCAGGAACTGAACTATGTAGTAGGTGCCGCCCTTAAGTGTTTCCTTGTGGCTGCCGTCTCTTGGACTTCGGAGGCACCAATTACTTTCACTAAAAATAAAGCCAGTGTTCAGGGCCGTTTAGTTTCGAATTCAACTTCGGTTTCTGATATTTCGCTTTGCATTTGCAACACGCCGCTTGGCAAATTTGCCCCGCAGCTGAAATTCGATTGGGATTGCTGCAGGCCCAGTAGCCAAATCGTCCAAACAATGCCGTTAAATCAAGCGAGACACTTGTCTGATCGACTAGTTGATACCAATGGAATATTTTCGAACTTACAAATTGTATATAATATTGATCAGGATAAACGGCCTTTTCCTGTTTCTGTTCGTACGTCGAGGTAAAATCTAGTACCGAGAGCTGAAGTTTGAAATTTCTTTAAGCCAGCTGGAGAAATACATGCTGTTCTCATTACTTAACAGGCTAACCAAATTGTTATGCCCTTAAACGAGACATTTCTGACCCTATAAAGTATATATATTCGTGATCACCAGGAGAGTCGATCTAGTCATGTTCGTCTGTCCGTCCGTCTGTCCGTGTCTACGCAAACTAGTCCCTCAGTTTTTCTTTATATTGCAGATAGTATATATGTCGGAACGAGACAGAACGGACGACTATAGCATATAGATCCCAAAGAAAAATAAAAAATTGAAAAGAAAAAAATTAAAAAAATTTTATTTTGCTGTTTTTTATTTATCAAAATATTCCTTTGAGATATAGTAATAGTTTTTTCAAAATAACTGCCATAGAACCGATGGCAAAAATCGAATCCTAAATCGACATAACTTCATTGTTTTTAGTAATATAAGCATAGAATTCGGCAATCCGAAGTTTGCTTCCTTTCTTGTTTATAAATAGTACACGTAATGTAAAAGGAATGGTTCATCAAGTATCCAGAGAAATGTGGTTGGAAATGAAGTCTTGGCGCTTTTCTGCCTCCTCAAACAGAAAATTTCATCACCTATTGTTTTGCACAAATCTACTGTTTTCAAGGAAGTTCTCCTATACAGTACTTTTTAACAAAGAGCAAGCGAACGGCTTAAAAGCTTAAACTGAATCCCCACAGGCCCTGTAAGTTTTTACAGGGTATCTCCAAACAACTGGCATGGCCATGTTAATATGCGGCTGCAAATACGTTAAGAGACACACTCTCGCACACAGTCGCGCCCAAATACCAATATAACCTGCACACGGGCAACTGCCATTCAGATATCAAGACAGTCGCACAGACAGAGACAGATGGAAGCGAAGGCGAAGGCGGTGGCAGCTCCACTTCGAGCAAGAAAAACCACTGAGGGCGATCGCTTGGCGCTCAGTTGCGCTTTGGTTACCACGTATAACGGTTCGCAATAAAGCCCGGACAACTTGGACACTCTTTTTATCGCAATCGCAAAACAATCAGTCAGCGGGAGAGAAAAGTAAATACGCACCTTTCCGAGAGATTGCTCTATAAGCTAAATCCACCATTAGATAGGTCCCGTTTTGATAATATCTAGGATTGCACATTTGATGTGTTTTCCACATTTGTATACTGAGAAATATCTTACTATCTAAATTGATGTTAAAAGATAATTAATAAGAAATGTTTTTTGCAGCTGGCGGTGCCACAGCAATATCACCAAAAGCAGCCAAACCTTCGCCAACAATGACGGACTACTTGTCTCTGCACTCGAGACTCGCCCAGGTGGGCCAGGAGCACCTGCTCAAGTTCTGGCCGGAGCTCTCAAATGACGAACGCGTCGAATTGGTGCGGGACATAGAGGAGCTGAACTTGGACGAGATCAAGCAATACTTCGATCGGGCCACGGTGTCGATGAACGAGAATGGCATTAAGTTGGACGACCGGCTGCAGCCACTGCCCGAGGGCAAGCTGATCTCCATCTCGAGGGCGCCGGTGGAGAAGGTGGCCGCCTACCGGGATGAGGGTCTCCGACAGATCAGCAACGGACATGTCGCTGTGCTGCTAATGGCGGGCGGACAAGGTAAGCAGTCATTCCTCTATCATAATGGGATTTTGTTATTGTATGATTATACAATATAGATCAGTCAAACGCTAGGTAAAAAAACACTTGTGTTTAATTTGCATAAAGGTGTTTTTGGCTCAAAAGTTTGATAGTATTATATGGGTATACCAGGCGGCTGGTAGTCTTAAATGACGCTAAGGTAAACCTAAGATAATCAGGGGTTGACTATTTAAGCATTGAAAGCAAAAATGATTTAGTTCACGATTCATTGCTATTTCAGATTTAAGAAAATTATAATCATTTTTCTATTTATTTTTTGTGCTCAAAAAGAAATTCTTAGTTCTCCTATTAAATTTAATTAAAAGAAATTAAAAAGTTATGAATCAGTAGTTGTTTCTTAGTTTTCAATGTATTTTCATACTCAGCTGTTAAAAAATCTAATTTTTTGAAATTATATTTTTATCAAAAAGCTGCATTCGGATACAGTAAACATAATGTAAACCGAAATAAAGCAAATATTTCAACATTACCAGACCAGCAACAGCACTTGGGTTGAATGTGTGTGCCTTTATAAAAGCTAATTAACTTGATATAAAAGTGCTCCATCGAGCTCACAAATACACGCAATCTCAATCAGCTGCCTACTCATGCAGCTGCATTGTAATTGTAATTGTAATTCCGTTGGCAAGACAAAAAATCAAATAAAAATAAACAACAACCATGCCAGTAACAATTTAAGCCATTCTGATGGCCAGTCTTGCCTTTCTTTTTTTATTGTTGCTCGGGCCAGTGCTCTTTTGAGTCGGAGTACTGAAAATGTGGGCGGCATTTGACATTTCCCGTTCCACGATCAAAAGATGGAGTGCAGTCCAATCACGTAATTGCCTTTTGAGGAATAAAGTCTTATGAAGTTGGGGCAGGGCAATGGAACTTGTTTTCTTGTGGCATTATTTCACCCACGTTCAGTTATAAGAAGAGCAATAAATAGTATACCAAGATAACAGTGTGATTTCCGAAAACTTTCGGCCAGGAGTGGAAGTTCCGCTTGCCGAACAGATAAGCAATATACCGAATATAGTCGATAATTATAAACCGGTAGTGGTACTGACCTTAAGCAAGCCGCTTATAAATGTTAAAGTTGTGCAGACAAAAGACAATATAAAGAGCGGAAAGCTGATCGAAAAAGAAACTGGTTTTTAAGGCCAACCGGCTGGGAAATCAAAAATGCTGCAGTTCTTGTTGTTAGTGAGTAATTAATTGATTCGGTGGTGGATTAATACCTTTTACAATAACATATTCAGCATAAACGCCAAACATGTGTTTTTATTTGAACACACATTACCTTACATAGATTCTAGATGGATCAATAAACAAGATAAAGCTTATTTGCATTATTGTTTTCCTCGATCGCACATATCTTTAACATTCTTTTTGTAGTGACATTAATATGTCAATGAATAATAGTACTAATATCATTTTTCAAATTATTTATATTTCATTAATGCAAATATAGTTTTGATTAAACCAATTTTTTACGAATAAAGTGATAAATAGAAAAAAATTAAAGATGCAAGTTTGGGTACCTTGAAACTTGTACGACCTTTTTTTCAGTTTCCTTATTAATTTCTCTTTGCAGGCACACGACTTGGATTTGATCATCCCAAGGGAATGTACGACGTGGGACTGCAGTCCCGGAAGACTCTGTTCCGCATTCAGGCCGAGCGGATTCTAAAGCTGGAGGAGCTTGCCGAGGAGGCAAACGCCAAACGGGGTCACATCACCTGGTACATAATGACGTCGGAGCACACGGTGCAACCTACTTACGACTATTTTGTGGCCAACAACTTCTTCGGCCTGAAGGCGGAGAACGTGCTGCTGTTTGAGCAGGGATCACTTCCGTGCTTCGAATACGATGGACGCATCATTCTGGACGAGAAGCACCGGGTGGCGCGAGCGCCGGACGGTAACGGAGGTATCTACCGGGCGATGAAGCGGCAAGGAATACTGGACGATATGCAGAAGCGGGGTGTATTATACCTGCATGCCCACAGCGTGGACAATATCCTGATTAAGGTGGCCGATCCCGTCTTTATCGGCTACTGCGTGCAGGAGAAGGCCGAATGCGCCGCTAAGGTGGTGGAGAAGGCGGCACCCAATGAGGCCGTAGGCGTGGTGGCCATCGTCGACGACAAATACCAGGTGGTGGAGTACAGTGAGATTTCGGCAAAAACAGCCGAGATGCGCAACTCGGACGGCAGGCTGACATTCAGTGCTGGAAACATCTGCAACCATTTCTTCAGCTCACATTTTCTGCAGAAGATCGGCAGCACGTTTGAGCAGGAGCTGAAGCTGCACGTCGCCAAAAAGAAGATCCCGTTTGTGGACAACGCCGGCAAGCGGCTGACCCCCGATAAGCCGAACGGCATCAAGATTGAGAAGTTCGTTTTCGACGTGTTCGAGTTCGCCCAGAAGTTCGTGGCCATGGAAGTTCCGCGCGACGAGGAGTTCAGCGCCCTGAAGAACTCCGATGTGGCTGGCAAGGATTGCCCCAGCACCGCTCGATCGGACCTCCATCGGCTGCACAAGAAGTATATCGAAAGCGCCGGCGGCATCGTGCACGGCGACGTCTGCGAGATCTCGCCGTTCGTCACCTACGCCGGGGAGAATCTCGCCTCACAGGTGGAGGGCAAGTCATTCACCAGTCCCGTATACCTCCGGGACACCCGCGATCCCCTGCACGGGCACCTCTAATAGGGGGCTGCAACGACGCATAGACTGATAGACGGATGGTACTTGTTTCAGTTATTTGTACATTTTTCGATTACCGTTTTTGAACGTTATGATTCCCAATCTATAGTTAGTGCACGGAAATTCCATTGATTTCAGTACTTAAAGGAGACTTGTAAAAATTTGTTACCTATTGTGTCCGTTGTTTTTTTCGTTTTGGAAATAATTGTGCAATCGTAATGTGAATATATACAATATATAGAACATGTAATGATATGAATATTTTAGTATGTTGTAAAATACAAAAATAATAAGTACGGCCAAAAGAATTGACTTTTACTTCTTGGAAATCCGATATGTAAACACTGGACCTATCTTATACGAGTTTACATAGGTGTCGTTGTCTATTTACACGACTGTTTAATTAATATCAGATAAATTGTATCTTTGAACAACAAGTAGACAATGCTGTTAAAAACTTACACCAGTTGATTGATAATCAAACAACAATTACGCTGTAAAAATATCGCATTGTCCGTCTATTTTTCCGTTTCTGAGGAACTAGTCTCACTTTTGCACTTATCTTGGATAAAACTTTCCACAAAAGTCTTCTTTTCATTGCAGGTTGTGTAAAGTCGGCATTAAATCCGTAATTCGAAGATTGCTAAAAAATACAATATTTTTGAGTTTATTTTCCTTTTCTTCACCGATTGTTCCTATGGAAGCTATATGATATAGTAGGCCGATCCGGCTCTTTCCACCATCAGAAGACTTTATGCTAAGTTTCATCGAAATAGCTTTAAACTTGAAGGACTATTTTGCGTAGAAACGGACAAAGGTGATGCTGATCAAGAATATATATACTTTATAGGTTACTAAATGTGCTCTTTACAGAGTGGCAAACTTGTGACTGAAATTATAATAGCCTCTACAAGGCTATACAAATATTATTACCTACATATGTAACATTTTTTTATTCAAACATTTGATTTTAATTTTAAAAAATCGCTCGTTTTATCATATAGTTGTCATAGGAAAGATCCGAAAATGTATAGTTGTTTACATAAACGAATATTTCTGAAATGAAAGATATTTTTTACGATTTTAAACTTTTATAAAAATTAAATCTGCAGCAATGTTAAATGTCTTTAAATGAGCATAAACCTTGATAAATATTAGTTTTATAGAATATATACAGTTGCAAAGGTATATAAACTTGTCAAAGATTGCTTCCTTCTTGTTTTATAAACCAGATGTACCGTGTACTCTCTCCGGTAACTTCACCTCTCAATAAATAATTGAATTGGCCCAATTCCGTTTTAACTAACATGTATATTACATATGTACGTTTAATCGACCAAATCATAATTTTTCCCCAAACAGATTGTGATCTCAGGCTTATTAAACCTATTGCCGCAACAATTAACAACAAGGGTCGGCAATAATCAGGGCATGAACAATTATGAGGGTTTTTACGAGATCCGGTTCTAATGGAACCAAATAGTTTGGAGCTTCAAACTTTCCGCCAAAGTACCGAAAAGGGCAGTCACACTTTTCTGCCCAACGGTAACACTTGGAGCGTAACACTCTGGTATATTGTGTCGATTCTGCAACGGTCACGCTGGAACGAGCTGCAGCTTTGGTCAAAATTTGTTGTTAATCAATAGCAATTAGATAATAAGTAAAGTTATGCTCAGGCAATTGCCACGGTCACTGCGGATGACCTCGCGGCTACGCACGCAGGTCAACTATGCCACCAATTCCCCGACTGGCCAGTCACAAATTCCCGTAACTAGGGCTTTGGAAATCGGGCGGTGGGCGGAAAAGCTCAAGGCCGCCGGCATCGAGGACACGGAATTCAACCTGAAGTGCATCGTGTCGCACGTCCTGAAGCAGAAATTCGTAAGCTTCTGTTAGAAAAGGGGAGCCACCATCTCGTCTAAACCAACTCTTTGCACGCAGAATTCCGTTCCGGACTCCTTCGCCCAGCTGAAGTTCAATCCCGGCCAACTAGCGGATTTCGAACGCTTTCTGGAGGCGCGATGTGCCCGGATGCCGCTGCAGCACATCGTCGGCGAGTGGGACTTCATGGACATCACCCTGAAGACGTCGCCCTCGGTTTTCATTCCGCGCCCCGAAACGGAGGAGTTTATGCGCCTGGTGATCGAGGACCACAAGAATGCGAAGAGTGTCGACCTGCTGGAGGTGGGCTGCGGCTCGGGCGCCATGTCCTTGTCGATGTTGCACAGCCTGCCGCAGGTGGAGGCCACCGCCATTGAGCGGAGCAAGGCGGCCACCGTGCTGGCGGCGGAGAACGCCAAGATGCTGGGCCTGTTGGACCGCTTCAGGGTTCACAACCACACCATGGAGGAGGACAAGTACCTGCCGGAGGAGCTGAAGGACCAGAAGTACGACTTGATCATCTCCAATCCGCCGTATGTCAAGACGGAGGAGTTCCAGTTCCTACACCCCGAGGTGGTTGTGTGAGTGGAGCTGCCCTTCCCAAATGACCCAGTTCATTGACCACCTTGTACCCTTAGCTACGAGAACCTGAATGCCCTGGATGGGGGCTCCGATGGCTTGAGGGTGGCCCGCCTGGTCTTTGACCTGGCCTGCCGGCACCTGCGCCCTGGTGGCAAGCTCTGGCTAGAGCTGGGAAACGACCACCCGCCGCTGGTGAAGACTATCATGAACCTGAAGTACGAGGGCCGGCTCAAGTTCGTTGCCAGCTACAGTGACCAGTACAAGCGCGAGAGATTCGTCCAGATAGAGAAAGTCTAGGCTGGATTACTTCATAGACAAGCTGATATAACTTAGACAATGCAATTAGCTATTACGATCCATGCATTTAGCTGTGATTTGATTTATGACCACAAAACCTGCACGCTGCCCAGAGGCTCACTCGCTTATATATTAAATATGTAGCGATATTTATCCACTAGTATTGCAATCTTGTATTAACAGCACGGCTGAAGAAGAGAGTTTTAAATTCATTGTAGCCTCAAGTCGAATCCAATACAGATCAAGGATGTTTTGGAGTGATTGATACCTCGATGTTCAATATGATTTTGATAATTCAGTTAGCTATAGGCACATACATATTCAACAGTCCTTGAGTTTTAGGAATTCAATCATATAGTAACAGCACTGCTGAAGTTGGTTGCCAGTTGCAGTGACTAGATCTTACAGATACAATCGTTTTAGGCGGGATTACTTAATGGATATTAGCAACTATTTTAAACTTTTGTGCCAGATGATCGCACATATTATAATATTTAAATGGGTCCTTAGGTATTCGATTCTTGTAGTAAGAGCACCGCTGAATCGCTGGCCAGGAAAGCTTTAAGCTGCGGAGAGGCGGAAAGCTTCGGTAGACTGGCTGGCAGCAACAAGTAGAATATCTTCACTTCGCTCAGTTGGAAATCGAAACTCGCGCTGAACGGATCCGCGGAATCCGAGTCTAAAGGTAAAACGCGGATTTGATTTGTCGCCGTTGTGGCTTTTTAATTCAATTGGCGATTTCGAGCTGCGAGCTCCAAGCTGCGATCTCCTCCGTGCTGCTGGTGTGTGTTGTTTTACTTTCAAGTATACACTTCATTGCTAATAAATTATAATTAACGAATGGGTAAAATTACAATTTGAGGCTTCATTTCAACAAAAATCGCGGTGGGCAGATCATAATGGGCAAGAAGATGAGAGCCAATCGCGAAGCAAACAAAATGAACCCAAAAAGTGCACAAACAAAACAAAATCAAAAACACGTTAAACAAGAAATTGGTTTAAAAAACCTATATAAATTGAAGTATATACGGAATGAATGTCGGTGCGTGCGAGTGAACGAACTAAGTGTGTGCACATACAGATATGTACACCCAAACTTCAACTCGAAGGCGGTTCGGATATGGATTGGAAACTTTTAGACACCGACTACAAAGATCGTGACATTATTAAATGCATTTGTCCGCCAGAACGACTGCAATTCGCTGTGTGTGAGGGAATGCGTGCGTGCGTAAACATGAATGTTTAATTATCGAAAACCAAAGCAAGTTTGAACTCGGCCGCGGTCTTTTCGGCGACTGGTTCTCCGCTGACGCTGCCTTTATCGCCTTAAGTTTGTAATTTGAGCTCACTTTCAATATTTATTGTCGGTGCTGCCCTGCTCCCCTTTTGGTAATTGCGAAAAACAAACTGAATAAACAAGATTCAGCAACGATTTTTATGCGTGTAAATAAAAATAGCGACCAAACGATAATGACAACAGCAGGGCAAAAAGTAAGACGGCTCATCAGCTGTTGCCATTGCATGACTATTACTGGTGGTTTCTTCTTCGGCAGCATCTATCTATGAATGTACATATGTACATATGCTCACCAGCAACATAGACGCCCAGAGGCAACTGCCATACCAGCAAAAGCAGCAACGGCAGCGAAAGTTTGGCCAAGTCGCACGCCGGTTATGTTAACAAGTGTGGGTTGTTGTTTTCCCCCACTTTTTATTCATCATCCGCACTGTGTGTCAAGGCACTGCGAGTTTATAGAGCTGTGAACGTAACTTTTGCAACACAGTGACCGGTGAGCTAGGTAGACGGCTTAAACACAACCATGTTATAAAGAGTGGCTCTGAAAATCTTCTCCTCAATTCATTAATGTCCAAATTAAAAAAAAAGAAACATCCTATTTGAAAACCACAATTTATTGTCAAATTAGTTGGATCATACCATCTTCAAGCATTGTTGAGCTTAAACTTGAGATCTAGTTTACTTACGATGTTACTGTGGTATTATATCGAAGTCAGTAAGAGAAGGTTTTGAAACTCCGTTTTGCTTATTCTACAATTTTATATAATTTTTAATAACATATCGATTTATAGGAATCAGGTCAAATAATGAATATTAATTTATTTAAAAATAGTAAAAGATAATTAAAATTAAGAACTTTATTTAAACACATCCGAATTAAAGTTTTACCCGCCACTGTATGTACATAAGTGTACAGTGCGAGACGCCGAAGAAACCCGATTAAAAATCAAGATACATACGTAGTTGTTATCTACTTTAGATGGCCTTTCTCAGTCGGGGACTGGGAAACATTGAAATGCAAATAGGCTGCCTTCGTAGATTTGTTGTGTCAAACACTTCGGGGGATAGCCCAGTCTACTGGGTTAGGGTCTAAACTGATCGATCGGTGTGCAAACAATGCCCGTGCCCTGCAATTAGTACTTACCAGTTTCCCACACTTTTTAATCGCTTCCAGCCCAGTGTCACACCTGTGCGAGCTTGGGAAACCGAAAATTTGACAACGACAGCCCATGAATACATAAGGAAATGTTGAAATGTTGCATAAATGAAAGTTAGTCCCGATCGTGAGGAGAGGGTAAAGGAGAGGTCGAGCTGGGCCAGTCGGGTATTCAGATTTAAGGCTGCTCACGTCGACGGGGCGGATACAAAGTCTACATGTGTCACAACAGCAAAATCGGCAAATCATTTAAATGAACCGCGGCGGCAATTGAAGAGGCAGCAATTAACAAAGACCACTGCAACTTGGGGGAATAGTGGAAATCACTTATATATAGATATTTCGCTCCTGCAACAAAATGAAGAATCGTCAGCGAACGCGCCGAATATCGCTAAATGAAAACCACAACAAATACTTTGGGAACAGCAACATCGATGTACAAATATTTACCAATACAAAAGAACCCAATCAAGTCAATTTAAATTCATCGTCAAAGCCGCTGACAACTACAGTAACGACGACCTCAGCGGAGGCTTCGGCTTTTCATGCCGCTCTTCCCGCTTCGCTTTCAGTTGCTCAGATAGCGCAGCAGCAACATATACATGCACGGCAGCAACATCCACGTCTACAGCAGCAACAGCAGCTGATAATGCCGCCCACAGCGATGACGGGCAAACACTTTCCACCGCCCGCCAAACTGCGAAAATCGAAATCCACCCCGAGTCTCAATTTCGATGGCAGCCAGCCCATGGAGGAGGATTCCCGCTGGCGCTCCACATCCCCGTTTTCACGGAACCCCGCCTCGGAGGCTAAGCAAACGCAGCAACATGGACAATTTTCACGCATCACCAGCAACGATAGCAGTTGCAACAGCAACAGCAACAAGTGCAAAGGCAATGCGACGCCAACAACACCGGAGTCATTGCGCTTTGGATGCGCTCACTACAAGCGACGGGCCATGTTTGTGGTAAGTGCAATGAGTATTCGAGATACACTTGTATCAGCAAAAGGGTTATACACAAGCTAGCGAATCTTTTACTGAATAATAGTTGAGAGCAAAAATCTAAGACACAGTGGTCTTAAGCTGCAGAAAAAATCTCATTAAATGATGCCTTTTAATTTACATAAATATTTAAACAACAAAGTAGTTTGATTCAAATTATTTATTATTTGGGTAATTATACCCGTTACTCGTAGAGTAAAAGGGTATATTGTATTCGTGCAAAAGTATGTAACAGCTAGAAGGAAGCGTTTCCGACCATATAAAGTATATATATTCTTGATCAGGGTCACTAACCGAGTCGATATAGCCATGTCCGTCTGTCCGTCTGTCTGTCCGTCTGTCTGTCTGTCCGTATGAACGCTGAGATCTCGGAAACTATAAAAGCTAGAAGATTGGCATTTTGCAAGCAGATTCTAGGAGTTTCTACGAAGCGCAAGTTTGTTTCAAAATGGTGCCACGCCCCCTTTAACGCCCACAATCGCTTATATACGATTTTAAAAATTTAAATATTTCGGAAAAGTAAAAATGCAGTTGTATTGTGTTTATCAATACCTATCGAAATGTAGAAGAAATTTTTCAAATCGGACCATTCTTTAAAAAGTTATGCGTGATCAAAGTTTCTATCTCCATCTCCCTCGCACTCCCTTTACCTAAGTAACGGGTATCTGATAGTCGGGGCACCCGACTATAGCGTTCTCTCTTGTTTAAAGTTGATATCTTCAGTATTTTAAACCTTCTTGGGTCTAAGTTTAGTTGGGTTATGCATGACTTGAGATGGAGAGGTTGCGTCCGTCCAAACGTATTAATTTGCATTATAATAATACAAATAAATATTATATATTCTTAGATATACTTAAGCATTTGTTGCTTTTAAATCTAAAGTTCAAATTAAAAATATTCATGCTGAGTAATGTTAGAAAAAGCGAACCCCTTTTTTATATGATCAAACTGAATTCATAACAAAATTAATCCTATTTTCTTTGTAAGTGTTTATATACAAACACTCAGCTATTAAAAATGTTTTCAATAAGTGCAAGTTAAAAAATATATAAAAACAAGAAAGGAAGGAAACTTTGGCAAGCCGAATTTTATTTACCCTTCAAGTTATTACAAAACGACTACATTTTGATTTCTATGCCTATATTACTAAAAACCATGAAGCTATGTCGATTTTGCGATGCATTTTGCCATCGTTTCTATGGCAGCTAAATGATATTGTTCCGATTTTAACAAAACTAAAAGCAGAATTCTATATAAATATTTACTATATCTCAAAGGAGTATTTTGATAAATAGAAAAACAGTTTTCGATTTTCCTATGGGAGCTATATTATGTCGATTTTTAATTTAATTCAAACCCTAATTTAATAGTGTTTAAATATTACCAAATCCCAAAGAACAAAAAAAAATTAAAAACCATAAAGTTGTTTGTCCGGACGGAGGGATCGGCTCTCCTGGTGATGCTGTTCAAGAATATATATAATTTATGTCTCCTTCACTGCGTTGCAAACTTTTGAATGAAATTATAATACCTTCTGCAAGGGTATAAAAAAACTTCTGATATCGGCAACGTTTCAATTAATATTTTATTTTTCAACCAATAAAGATATTCATCCTACACGTTAATTTAAATGATGCGGGTCTAAAGCAATATCTACAGGCACAGAAAGAGTTTCCAAATTTTTTTCTTAGTCACTTAAGAATACACTTTTCAGTAATCATCAATAATTTCCTATCAAAAATTGTTTATTGTTGATTAATGGATCTTAAAGTGTGATGATCTTTGGAAAGCTACTTAAACGTAACTGGCTGAATCGGAGTTGGAGTATTATAGAGGCTACAATTACTTATTTTAAGGCTTCAATAATGGTGTTTTGTAAGATAATGGGAAAACATTTTGTAATTGATAAAAATGATTGGACCCACTCGTTTTAATTCTGTAATTTACCACAAAATAAGGTAAATTTGACAATTAAAACGAGCTGGTCAAAAAAGTTAAATATAATTTCAATAAAAATGAGATCGACTATAAAACACCTATACGAACAATTTGCATAACTTCGTTGCCTTTAAAAATGATTTTAGGAAGGTGGTTGTAACTGTTTCCTGGAAACATATAATTTACTATTGTTCAAACTTTTCAAGGCTACATAAAATGAGTTCTCCGAATGGAAACATTCTTTTTGACCCATTCATAAAGCTTTTAAATTTTCCACCTATTATAGAATTTTGGAATTTTTCGAGAAAGTAATTTTGGCGCCTTCAGAAGGCATCTGTGCTTTCTGCGCATTTCGTTGTCGCTTCCTCCATGGAATGGCCACTTAACCTTTATTTATTCGTTTCTAAACAAACAGCCCAAATAAAGTATCTGAAGTCTAAATAGACACCTTTGGCAATGATTCTTTTGTGCCTGGTGTAATTTTAACTCAATTGGAGGGAATTACTTTTTGCACGGCAACTGTTCACGATGTCCGGGATTCGGAGGGGAGCAATCGTGGGTCTGCCAGCAAATTTAACCGACCTGTCTGCTCCGGTTCCGATTCACAGCGCAGGAATTCTCGGTGGGCAGCCGTCCCAGAGGCGAGTGGCCATTTAACACCTCCATTCTCCGATCCCCATTCATCTGGGCAAACAATGCGTTTATCTTCATCGGTCGGGTTTGGATAAGAAATTATGAGGAAACGTGAAATGGTGTGTGCATATAAGGCAATCGTTCCCCAGCTATATTCAGGCCTTTACTTTTCCAATTAGGAGCCAGCAGACATAATTATCGAGGGGTGATAAGTGCGGTATACAATAATATTAGGGCACAAGTTTGAGGTGAGAGAAGTGACTCAATGCAGGGGAAAGTAATAGTGGGAATTCGGCGAAGTTGGTATGATCTTGTAAAACGGTGTCGAATAGAAAGGAAACCAAGAATCTTACATGGTGCAACGCTAATGGGTTCTATCAAAATATCTATGGCTTAAATATGTTTCAGACGGGGAGATTTTAGCAATACTAGATACAGATTCCTGCTTGCAGCCCATCGATAATATTGATCCTTAAGCATATATCCTTAATGACAATGAAGTTATGAAAATTTTACGATATATTTTGGATCGTTTCTATGGTTCTAATAGCATTATTTCGGAAATTAAAAAAAGTAAAAGGATCATATATGAGTACATGCGTATTTGCTTAAGATCGGAGTTTGAATTTTTCTTACATTTATTTGCTATTGTTCCGACCTATACTACCTGGAATAGTAAGAAGACTTTGCTGATCGAAAATATATATACTTTACAGGGTCGAAAATGTTTCTTTCTCTGCGTTGCCAACTTCTCACTGAATTTTTAATATCCTCGCAAAGTTATAATTTCGAATATTAAATAAAAATATTAAGTAGAATGTATATTTAAGTAACCAATACACCCCAGGACACTCCAACAAAACAGCAATAAAAATGCTGACAAAACAGCAAGAATAGCAACCAAAATGCCACTAATTTATACTAATAAAGGAAATTGTTAACTTACTAACAAAGTGCAACATTTGGCACAAAAATATAAACACCCACACCACCCACTCTTCAACATATTAGCCCAACAGGAAATAAGCAGACTGAACCGAATGAAATTCACGAGACATCGTTTAGGCCACTCAAACCTTACCCATAAATATATAAATCCCTCCAAAGAAAATAGAATAAACATAATAAATTCCTAAAAGAAACAAATATATTCAACCTAATTTAAAACCCAAAAAAGTATATATAGTAAGTAATTCTAACCATCCTTAAACAAACATAGTCGAAGGCCCCTTTTATGTTAGCTTTAACTATTCTATCATTTATAATAAATAAATAAGTAATTCTTCAAGTAGTCAATAATACGGTCATATATACTGATAGAAAACAAAATCCGTTAAAGAAAATGTAAAACTGAAGCATTCCAATTTCGCGGTATGAATTAATCATTTAGCCAAAATTCATTCTCATGTTGTACCACTTTATAAAGCTTTCCAAAAATGTCACGTAAGCCCGTACGCGCCCAAATCTGTCCCACATTTTCTATAATCGTAATCGATGTTTTCGCTTTTGTGTGTACACGTTTTACACCGAGAGAAATTTGGAAAAGCAAAGGTTCAACTTATTTGCATTACTGAGGGTCGCATTAATTGTTGAATCAGGTGGAGTATTTTACTCTCAAATATTTATAGTCGCGGTGATGTACGTGTGTCCGTAAGCCGCACAATGCGTGAAATTAATTTATACATTCCTGTGGACTTAAGCTCAATGTTAAGAGCGATGTGTGCATTCGCAATCGCAAGTGGAGCAATGCCCGCAATTACTGGCCCCTAATATCGTGTGTTCCAACGGATCTTGTATCAATTTGTCACAGAACCCTGTGTTTGCCTTGCTTCTTTGTTTCGGGCAATGAATAAATTTGAGATGTCTGGAATTAGCCAATTGCAGGAACAAAAGCGTTATAATACGATCATTAGTGCAGCGCAGCAGTAAAACGAGGGGAAGCACAAAGAAACCGGATTCGAAGACTCTACTCCGTTTCTGTACTTCGAGTGTTATCATCGCAGCAGAGTTGAAATAAATACTTGTATACGAAAAAGTGTTGTTAGGCTATAAATAATCCTCAAAGATAGAAGAGAAGTTTACCGAGGGTGCGAGGCTGGGCGATATAAATACACGCCATACATCCCCAGTCTGGACTTTGTTACATAAGTTACAGAAGGCCAACGAACAAGATAACTAAATCCGTAAGCCTACCGATTTCTAATCTCTGTGCACTCAGCAACAAGTTCTTAGTGATGAAATCAAGGCCTAGAAACCCCATCGATCTGATACAGATTTGGTCGGTCTTTATCATAACCAAATGTTGATAATTCGAGCCATCGACTGGTGGACTAATTAGCAGCCACCTAATGAACCGACACGAGTGGCTTTAGGCATCTTTACAAGCGGACTTAGCTTCCCCCATGACTTTATTGGCGCTTCGACTCGTAGTTCGATCGAATTCAAAGTGCAATCTTTATGGTAATGCTAAGTTTGGCCGGCAGATTTGACGCCAAACGAAATTGCCTTTGGGGGACTTGGACGTCACTCGTCAATTTTACCCTCCATTTGTTTTATGCCGGCGTTCAAGCAGATTTCGTTAATTAGCAGCTCAATTTGGGAATCAGGGGCCACCGTTGGCTGCTAATGAATTGTGTTTCGCGATAATGGGTTCGGTAGTCCTTGACTGGGGGAGGCTCCATCAGAAGTGGAGTGGAAACTTAGCCCCATTTAAAGTGGAATTTTTCGTTAGTAACTTCGTTTTTTTTCCAATACTAATTCCCTTTAATTTTGTTTTCTTTTTCGGTATGTTTCCATATCTGTTTCAGACTCCCTGCTGCAACAAGTTCTACAAGTGCCGCTTTTGCCACGACGAGAATGAGACACACCACTTTGATCGCAAGACCCTCACCGAACTCATCTGCTCCGAATGCAACACGCGGCAAACAGTTCGGGAACAGTGCGAGAATTGCGGAGTCCGATTTGGCAAGGTAAGTCATGCACTTTTTATCATAACTAGGAAAAGCGAGTACTTCATTTTCGAAAAACGCCAATATATCGATTTTTATGTAGCTTTTACCAAAAAAAAGATTATATGAAACGACTTTCCTTCGATTCTTATGCCTGTATGCATAAAAACAATGAAGCTATGTCGGGTTTCGATTTTCTTATGGCAGCTATATAATATAGTCTTCCAAATTTTTATTTAATTAAAATTTGTATTTTTTTGTATTAAAAAAATTGTAATTTGCTTATTTTGGTACATGGGCAATCGTACTTCTTTTTCCTTACATAGGTATTTAATTTTGCAAACCCTATGTACCTTTTTTTTTTAAAAAAAACAGTACCTTTCCCAAAACTCTGAGTACATGCGGTATCCTAAAATATCCTAGATCAAGGGTGGTATACAAAATCTACTTTAACAAAGTGGTTTTACTTCATCTAAGATCTTGTTGTCTAAAGAAGTGTCTTTCTTTCTTTAATAGAAACTAAACCATGAATAATTTTCGCACTTTCAAAATCGGTTTCCTAAAAAGTAACCGATGTGCTAATTTTAATATTGACGACTTAAAAAAATTAAATTAAATTATTACTAAAAAAACGAGCCCCATTCCGAGGATAAGATCACTTTCAAAATATATATAAGCAAATATTATTAATATTTTAATTGGAAAAAACGCATTTAGGACTATTTCTGGACAAAAATAATGACTTTAAAAGAACATCTTTAAGCGCCAATTTTAAATTTAATTTGTTGCAGTACACCTGTCTGATCTGCAACCTCTTCGATGATGCGGACAAGAAGCAGTACCATTGTCATGGCTGTGGAATCTGTCGGATTGGCGGTGCCGAAAACTTCTTCCACTGCCAGGTCTGCAACATGTGCCTGCCCATCCAGTTGAAGATCGATGGCCACAGGGTGAGTTCGGATTGGGTTTGGCACTCCATTAGGTTCGGCGATTGTCCACTTGGAAAATGTTTGGATTGAAGTGCGGATTGTGACCTCCGCGATTCGAAAGCAAATCGAAGAAATAGCCAGCCGGCTCGCATGTTAATTTTGTGTCAACTCATAGCCGAAACCGGTTGCCTAATGGCTTTATGTAGCGATCTGCGATCTGCGATCCAGCTGAGTGGATATGAATGTCAAAACTGTTCGAGGAATAGCTTAATTAATTGGCCAGCATATTTAGAGTGCTGTGCATACGCGTATCAGGCACCGAAATGGGCACAGATCCGATGGCGATTTATGCAAATCAAATAACTAATCAGGGCAAACCTTTCTCATTCACAGTGCGTGGAGAACATCTCGCGGTCCCACTGTCCGGTTTGTCTGGGGGACATCCACACCTCGCGCATTCCCTGCCACATCCCCGACTGCGGCCACCTGCTGCACAAGATGTGCTTCGACCAGCTGCTGGCCTCCGGCCACTACACCTGTCCCACCTGCCAGACCTCGCTGATCGACATGACGGCGCTGTGGGAGTACCTGGACGACCAGGCCTCGCGTATGCCGGTGCCCCTGAAATACGAGAATCAGCGGGTGCACATATTCTGCAACGATTGTCACAAGGTGAGTTTGAAGAACCACTTATCTTCTATCAGATGTTGCTTCCTTGGTGTGGCACTCCAGGCGAGTCATGTTCTTCGGTCTATTCAAGTAGGTTTAAAAGCTGTCATTAGGGAACATTCAGATCAAGATAAACAACCGATCAGATCATTCGAATAGATCCTATTAATGCTTACGGTCGTTTTATGATGTGACTCAACATATTTAAAATAATTAAATTCTCCAAAAAAAAAGATTACTTATACCTCTTAATATTGTACATTTTATTGTACAAGAAATGCATTCGAAAAAAAAATTGATTTTATTCTAAGCTTTAGGTGTTGCGCAATGGTCCCAAAGTTACTGTTAAAATTACTCATACGACACGTAATCAAAAGGCAAAAGTGCGATTAAGTTAAAAAAAATTCCTTCTGGTCTGCCTTAAGGCAGGCTTGCACCTTGTTGGCGCCCAAAACCTGATTTTTTTCTGGAATTTATTTCTTGGAAAGTATGGTAGGTATGGGAATAAAATTAAAAATTTTAGCCAGTTGTAGGGTACAGTTTATTGAAGCTACACAATTTTTTTGAGTGCGATCCAAGCGAAGGGGGGAGGGGGAGTACCCAACAATGGCGGCATGTCCGCGAAAAACTCGTCCTCATGGCGGATTTTTTGGAATTTTAAGAAATAATCTGAAACGCAAAAAACGAATATATTCTTAATCTGTACACTTGTTCGCATGGCTTGAACTAGGATTATTGAAAAAACATGAAAAATGCAAAAATTATGAGCTTTTGAAAAAAAAATCGGTTTTTTCCTCATTTTTTCGTCACTTATTATTTTTTTAAATAAACAATTTTTAATATTTTCAAAAGATCCTAGTCTATTCCATGCACATACTTCTGAGGAACATGTATAAAAAATTTCATGACGATTGCTCAATTTTTGCGGCTTGTACGACTTCCGCCAACTCGGAAAACATGGTTTCGAGAAAAACGCGTTTGAAAATTTGCACTATAATGGCAACGCGCTTGACACCGGTCCACCAAACGCTCGATAACTTTCGTAATTCAAGAGATTTCGACTTGAAATTTTAGGAGAGTAAAATTGAAAAATGTATGTATCCGAAACTGCAAAAAAAAAAAAATTTATTTTTTTGACCTCACAAGGTGCAAGCCTGCCTTAAATGCACCAAAGCGCATAGTATAAACGAGGTAGAGTTGAACCTTTAAACTTGTATACAAATTTGGACCTCCCTAATAGCCATATTTGGAAATATATATTATCCATGAAAGGGAATCTTTAAGTTATGAATAGATTTGCTCCAAATTGTTTTTCCGGATATAATATGAAATCTGAAAAAGCAAAACATGAAAGATTTACAAACTATTATCAGCCCTGCATAATCCTTTATCATTTACGTTGCAGACTTCCAAAACCAAATTCCATTTCATCGGACTCAAGTGCATGCATTGCGGCGCCTACAACACAACACAGGATGTGAAACGTCGCCTGTCCCTGGTTACCGATGAGCCATCCTCCGCATGATGTCCACCGACTCACATCACATCAGCCACATCCACATCCGCATTAGCAACAGGAATTCTCTTGCCATGCTACCCATATTTGAAGAAACTAATTGTTTACCCAAACACAAAACAACTGAAATCGAAACGCATTGAATTTAGACCAAATTCGAGCTGGTATCGAATATAAACCACACAAACACAAACAAAAGGCTCCCTTAATCATTCGGGTGTTCACTCGGAACTCCTGGAGATTTCAAAATATTGATTAGGTTTCATGGAAATATATAGTTTCAATATTGTGATACGGCCATAACAATAATTTTATCCAAATTGTATTTTAAATCTCTAGGGGATTCCGAAACCCCGCTATTATATACACTTCACACATTGGTAAATACAAATTTTAACTCGAATTTTAAAGTATTCTATTTGCAAAAATTATTTTGTGTAAATCTCGAATTTCTATGCAAAAATTTAATTTTAGAAAAAAACTCTGTAAATCTTAAAATTCCGTTACGCATGAGTTCTTAATAAACAAGAGAGAACGCTATAGTCGGGTGCCCCGACTATCAGATACCCGTTACTCAGGTAAAGGGAGTGCGAGGGAGATGGAGATAGAAACTTTGATCACGCATAACTTTTTAACGAATGGTCCGATTTGAAAAATTTCTTCTACATTTCGATAGGTATTGATAAACACAATAAAACTGCATTTTTACTTTTTCGAAATATTTAAATTTTTAAAATCGTATATAAGCGATTGTGGGCGTTAAAGGGGGCGTGGCACCTTTTTGAAACAAACTTGCGCTGCGTAGGAACTCCTAGAATCTGCATGCAAAATGCCAATCTTCTAGCTTTTATAGTTTCCGAGATCTCAGCGTTCATACGGACAGACAGACGGACAGACAGACGGACAGACGGACAGACGGACAGACGGACAGACGGACAGACAGACGGACAGACGGACATGGCTATATCGACTCGGCTAGTGACCCTGATCAAGAATATATATACTTTATAGGGTCGGAAACGCTTCCTTCTAGCTGTTACATACTTTTGCACGAATACAATATACCCTTTTACTCTACGAGTAACGGGTATAAAAAGCATAGCATACAACAACAAACAATACTTTGTGTAATTCATTTAAGGCCATATATATTTTTGAATTAAAAGCGAGTGATCATAGTAGGGTGCAATGTTTTAAACTTTTTCGATTCCATTTTTAATTACTTTGGTTAAAATATATAATTATCTTTTTAGTAACTTTTTACTTGACTAAACCTATTTATTATAATATCAATATCATCACCTTTCCCAGAAGAAGTATGGATGGTAACGGATTGAAGGCGTAACTATACCACTTTGTACATAATTAAATTTCTGATTTTTATAGAGAACATATCTCTAAGAAAAGAATATTGTTTGATCATCCCGATTAACAACAGAATTAAACTAGCGCAGAAGAACTTTTCGATTTCTTCCGACAGACTTTAAAGCATCTAGTGGAAAACTTTTCGGAAGCCGTCCATGAATTGAACTATCAGTTAGGGATATTGTTGGCCTCAGAATTGGCCCACTACTGCGCCTTCTCCTTCTGGGCATTGCCATCGGGTTTGTCTCCGGCAGCTGCCTTCTCCACCTCGCGATTCTTTTTACGTTCGGCCGCCTTCCTCTGACTGGTCAGGTATAATCCCAACGCAATCATCGCTGCCCAGCTTATGTATCCGATGTGGTAAACGGAGCTATAGAACCGCCAAATGTTGCCAAACGATGAGAGCAGGAAGGCCTCGCCCAAGTAGCTGAAGGCGAACCACTTAAAGATCCAGAAGAGAACATCGATCACCCTGCGCCTAGTGCCAGATTCATTCTTGCGCACCAGCTTATCCCACATGTCCTCCAGGGAAACGTAGAAGGGAGCGCCCATGATGCAGAAGTAGTGTCCCGGTCGGAATCCGTGCCAGTAGGCAGAGCACAGCAAAGTAGCGCCAGTTCTAGGAAGGGTTTGAAGGCGAATTAATAAGGAAAGCATTCATTGAACGGATAACAAATGCAAGTTACTACTAAGAATACCTGCCAACCCTGCGATCAGTTGCAAAGGGAAAGAACGAGAACAATACAAGTAATACGAAAAGCAAACGGAAATACAACAAAAGCTACGACTCTATGAAATAAGTTAGTGTAGGAACTTAGCTAAGGAGTTTTGTACCAATACAATTTCATAGCATCACAGTTACTATTTAAATACTACTACCTCCTAACTTAAAACACACCTGTACTTCTTGCTGGGGAAGAGTTTGTAGACGTTGACAGCCAGCCAATACTGGACGCAGACGTTCCAGTGCTTCATGCCCTCGCGGAAGGTCCAGCATCTCTCCACCTCGAGTACTCTGGTGTTCACAATCGTTGTGAAGTTGTAATGGTGCTTGTCTGCATCGCGTTTCAGGTGCTGGTAGCGTTTCCGCGGTCCCTCTCCGTTATTGGGATCCGACTCATCTGGATAGGCTCCGAAGCCAGCCATTGTGCAGACACATTCGCTGAGGGTCAGTCCGGTGTAAATGCGAGCACGGAATGTGAAGAACGTGGGCCACACGTACAACAGGCGATAGACAAAGGAGCGATCGTTGAAGAACTCGTCGCTCAGTGCATACTGAAGTGTACAACCAAGTAAGTATTGTTTGGAGGCATGTTTAGGCAAATACTCACATCTAGTGGCCAGAAGTAGTTGGTTGTCAGATAAAGAGCGCAATAGAAAACCGCATATTTCAGCTTTTCCAGGGTGGCTTCAACGCTGGGTGCATGGGTCTTAAAGGGCATCTCAAAGTAGTCCCTGTACGTGCGGTACCGATAATAGGGACCTGCAAGTTGATAAACATAAGGAGAAATCTAGGCTGTAGATAATGCACTCATTGGAAGCGGTGGAAATCGGTTTTGAGCGTGTATGAGTTAAGTTGTACTATCAGCTATTTAATTGGACTTTGGTATCTACATGTGTTCCGACTAGACAGGCGTTCTGCCTGCAATTGAATAATGATTTAGTTTAAACCTTATAAGCTGGTCTTCACCTGTTAGAACTCCTATATAGTTAAAGCTGTAGTGCACAATCTCGGCGGCAGTCAGGGTCTGCAGTTCCTCATCGTAGTCGGTTATCTCGATGAGACTCTCCTGGTTCACATCCCGCTGGTCGTTCTTCTTCTGCTCTTCGCGTGCCTGCAGTCGTTTCCAGGCGGCTGTCTTCTCGAAGGCCACACCCGAAACCTGACGTTGGAAGGATTGGGAATCAAGTAGTTGTAATGCAAGCAGGTTATGCAACCCACCTTCAGGGTGAGTATCATTTGTATCATGTTGGTGTGCCCGGGAATGCCCAGGTAGAAGTCGAACATGCGGAAAAACACCAGGTAGCCAAACATGACCACGAAGGTGACGAGGTGGCCTTTGCTGGAGGAGGGAGCAGGGTGATTATTGTCCGGTTCCAGAGTTCGGGGAGTCCCCTGACTCACCTTGGGTGTACGAGGAGCACGGCGGCAGTGCCTAACGCCAGGGAAGCGAAGCAGTGCAGGCTGTGGAGCCCCGACACAATCACCACCACAATCACGCCCAGCGCCGTGGACACCAGCTTGCGCTGGCCCTCGTCTGCGATCTTCCTCACATAGCTCCCGGCTCCGATGCAGGCCAGCAGGCAAATCACGTAGATCACGTCATCGATACTCATGGTGCTATTGATGCCGCTCCCGCTATTGATTTGTATTTACGATTGCCTTCTGCGTTTATGCAGCGCAACCCACACAGGCGCGTTGTGTATTTATTTTGATGCAGCTGGGTTTGTTCTAGAGGTGAATAAACATCGGTTTTATTGCTGTTCGGGAGGGAATCGATTTGTGCCACCTCTAAGAAGAAAATGAAATGCAATGTACCCGCTACTTGCGGAGTAAGTACCTGCTAACTACAGATAACATTGGTGTATCTGTTGCAGGATGGTGTCTCCGCTAACCATGTTAACATCGATGTTATTCCATTTCTTACGAGTTTTGAGTATCAACATTGGCACTGCTAACTAAGAAAAGTGTCCAGGAGCAGCTTACTGAAAACAGTGTTGAATTGATCACTGCTTGCTAAGACACAAAGGAAGAAAGGTGTCAATTGACACTGCTTACTGAAATCATTATCAAAAGTAACACTGCTTATTGCGGAGTTTGTCAAGCGGTACACAGCTTACTGAACAAGTGTGAACGTGAGCACTGCTTATTGAGAAAAGTGTCAAAATGATCGCTGGGGACTAAGAGAAAAAAGAAGTGTCGAGCGGTACACTGCTTACTGAAGTAATTGTCAAGATTATAACTGTTTACTTAGGAAAGTAAGCAGTGAGCAGCTTACTGAGAAAAGTGTTGAACGGAACACTTGATTTTGTTACGGTCCATTCGATTACTCATTGCTTTCTCTGCCAATCGCACATCACTAGCAACCGTGAATTGGCCATCGCGAGCTATTGCACAAAAGCTGGCTGTCATGAAATGGCGAAGCATTTCCGTTACTTTGAGAAATAATTAATTTGAGTGCAAATAACAGAAAAAGATGTTGTTTAATTTTCTTAAATTTGTAGACACCGCTTGATAAAGCATTAAAATTTGACAAGACAAAATGATGTGGTCAATATACTAATTAGGCCAGGTCGTTTCCATAGAGTCGTCTAATTTTGAAGGCAGTATAAGTATTTTCATCAAATTTGAACTATTTTTCAAAATTTGAAAATAGTTGTGATGACAAAAGTTGTAAGCAAATATCCAGCTTCGTGACAATTTTTTGTTTAAACCTACTATATATATGTTTATTTTGGTTTTGATTCCCTGTTTCAAGAAATACCAAATAATTTCAATTGTAATTATACCCGTTACTCGTAGAGTAAAAGCAGTGGCGGATCCACGGGGGGGGAAATTAGGGAAATTCCCCCCCCCCCACCCCCCCCTTGGAACCGCAGAACCTGAAAATTTCACTTGTTTGCTAGAAAACGCCAGTGCAAAACGAAGGGAATTTCAGGGCTTTGCTGAGATTCAGAATCGATTCGGGTGACACAACTCTGGAGCATCACCTTGGGAGCACATCTTCAAGAGCGACCTATACCAGTAAAACGATTCAGAACCAACTAATTGAATGCTGCAGGGCAGAGATACTGGACAAAATTTTGCAACGAGTGGCTCGTGCTGAATATTACACGATTGTTTTCGATGAATCTCCAGATCTGTCTGGAAAAGCTCAGGTAATACTTTAATCTTGCCAATTATTACGTAGAAGTAGAATTTCCGTAAAAATATAATAATTGATGCCTATTGTCTATTGATAGTAGTTGTTCCCAAGAAAATAAACAGAAATTTACAGAAGAATAATGTTTCTCATTACAGATTAGCGTTGTACTCAGATATGTCGATTTTTCTCCTGGCGAAGCATGCATACGAGAAGACTTTGTATCTTTTTTGGACGCATTCGGTCAACTTTCGAAGAATACTCTCGCGGAGGGTACAGAATCAGAAGAAAGCGAGGATGAAGATGGATTAATGGCTTACAGAACTGCTGGAAAAAATGACCGAACCGATGAAGAATTGTCTCTAACTGGATCTGCCATCGGGGGGATTGTTCTTGGAGACATGAAGAAAATGAATCTCCGAATGGAGAAATGTGCTTCGATAGGGACTGATGGATGTGCGGTCATGCTGTCAGATATCGGAGCAGTCAACGAAATTCGGAAAGATGCAAAAAATGCTGTCATGACTCCGTGTTTCTCGCACAAACTCAACAACAGTATTTCAAAGTCAGTGAAAGTACGATTAATCGAAAACGTTGCCAGTGCCATACACGAAGTCAATAAATTCTTCAAGAACTCATTTCCAAAACGTGTGACTGTATTAGCAAAGATAGTTGGTGAAAAAATTGTCCAGTTGTGTGAAACAAGATGGGTAGAGAGACACGATGCTGTCCTTCAATTTGTTGCGAAGTTACCGTTGATCAAGAGAGGAAAAAAAGAGGGAAAAAGTTGATGAAATATTCCGACTGATTTATTCAGATGCCAAGAAAATGGCGGAAAAACTCGATGTGGACGAAGCGAAACCGAGAACATGTGGTCGACAAACGAAACGCGAAAATTACGACGTGAAAACTTGCGAAGATTACTACAGGGTCTCTGTCTACATACCTCTGCTGAATACCATCAAAGAAGATTTGGAAGCTCGTTTTTCACGAGAAGTTTTGGATGGTTACCAATTGAGTGAGTTGCTCCCAGAAAAAGCAAGTCTTTTAAAAGAAAACGAAATCGATGATCTAATTGGATGCATACAAAAATTGAAATTCAAAGGTGAATTAAGCTACTGGCAATGTCACTGGCAGCAGCAACAAAAAATTAAAGGCAGCGAAATTCCAACATCTGCACTGGAAACATTAAGAAAATGTGATGTCGACATATTCCCAACAATCCACACCTATCTCCGAGTATTCTGTACACTTCCCGTAACAAACGCGAGCTCTGAACGTTCTTTCTCTTATCTTCGCCGCATCAAAACATGGCTTAGGACGACCATGCTTCAAGAAAGACTAGTTGGATTAGCGTTGCTTCATACGCATTATGACATCGAAATCACCGCCGAAGAAGTCATCGAAAGATTCGCAAAACTTGGCAGCCATCGTTTTGCGTTATGAAACACGCAATGTAAAAGCATTGTTCTGTTTGAATTTCTAATAATATGAACCACTCTGTAATGCATGCATATGGTTAACTTTTCGAATATAACCCGAATATAATATATTTCTCCCGTTATAATAAGTTTGAACCCCAAATCGAAGGATAAATTCAATAATTTACAGAATATTCTGCAAGGGTATATCAACTTCGGCTCCGCCCAAAGTTAGCTTTCCTTTCTTGTTAAACTTTGTCTAACAAACGCAAACGAGTATTTTCGGCTAGGTACACAATTTTTTTTTTGGTCCGGAGGATTAAAAATGTATTTATACGAGTGCTGAGCAGTCTATTGAACGTGCCTGGCGTCCAGGCTGTTTATCTTCTCCAACATTTGTTGGCATTTTTTTTTAGAATATTCGTATTCTAAAAGATAATGTATATAAAAAAAACCTTAAACACGTTATTGAGATTATCGGCTTTCAGGTAAAATATCACGCATTTCGACTCAAAATAGTATTGGTACAAAGTAAAAGATACTGGTACTCCAATTATTAACAATTTTTTTCACTTCTATACGTATTATTATTAATGTTTGATTGTTTTATTCCACCGTCAGCCTTGGGGTGGCGTTAATTGGTACACTTACCTCACTTAGTGAGAAAAGAGGTCAGCCGCTGTTCTGGAGTGGTACCGCTCAATTCGAAATTCGAAAGATACGATTGATTCACTCTACTTTTATGGTATCTAATTATGCCACCAAACGACACCAAACTGCCTGAATGGTATTTATTCTCTTTGCGATTATGAAAATTTTGAAATACATGACTCGAGTATGATTGATTGTTTATAAAACTTTATTAATAATTTTTTTTTCAACATTTTTGACATGACTTGGAATGCAGGTGATGAAATTTACAAAAATTACATGATTTTACATTCGGGTTCGCAAAATGATCTTATTCTGTTTTTTTAATATGTCTCGTTTGGTACGTGCTGCATTCATTTTTCAATTTATTAGCAGACATTTTAAGCACAGGAAACATATACTTTCCACCAAATGTTAATTTATTCGAGCTGACCGTTCCTCTCAATCCTGTAATATACACAATTTCGAGTGACAACTTTTCTTTAATTTCGAGACCCTTTTTGATCGAAAGTCTAACTTTCTCGTTCATGAAATCAAATGATGACTTGATCAAATCGAATTTTTTCTGTACTTCGGGTTTATATATTGTTTCCACCATAATGATACTTACGATTCCATTGAACAAACTTTTCTCCAAAACATTCATTGTCTGTTTATTTAGATCATTGATGGTAGCCGTATCCTCTTTTTGATCGTTTCGAAAAGCATTGGTTACCTTAGACATGACGTTTGACAGGTCTGTAATACCTGTATTAACGTGATTTCGACTCTGGTCCAAAAGTTCAACACTTCTAGTCAAAAGTTTTATTCCATTATTTAAAGTCTCGTTGAGGCAATCTTTTTGTAGCTCTTTAACTTGTTCGGTATAATCTTCGAATAAATAAACATACGTCGTCATCATTATGTCAATTGTAGCACACCATTCGTATACACTAGCTACTGCATCGAAATAAAAATCACGGCTTTTGAGAAAATAACTTCTAATACTTCCCATATTAGAAACTGCAAGTTCTCCGCTATGCTTGATCATTTCTTCAAATATGTTGTCGAATGATACCCAGTCGATGTAATCGTCCATGCTTTGATGAAACGCGTAGACGGACTGAGTCAAATTTTTGAGTATATCCTCATCAGAAATGATTTCGTCGCTGGATACGGTCAAATTATGGTAGGTAATAGTTCTGGCTGATGACAAGCCAACGGCAAACAGGACAAGCAGTGCACACTTCATCACGTAGAGAGCAGAATCGAACTGTGGGAAAGAAAGAAAAACTTCAATCGTTACAAGTATAAATGATAGAAATGGAAAGAAACGCTTCTACACGCACATTCGAGTATTGTTTCCAGTAGAATGAGTATTGTTTTTTAGAAATTACCGATGCCTATGCGTAAACGACTAAACGAACAATGAGAATTGCAGCCTTTCTCTATAGCTATATGACCGCATTCGACTCTGACAAGTGAAAGTGAACGAATACTTCACAGATTACGATTCCAGCAATATATCAGCATCATGTGTACAGTCTCACTTGAATTTTTTTTTTTTTTTTATACCCGTTACTCGTAGAGTAAAAGGGTATATTGTATTCGTGCAAAAGTATGTAACAGCTAGAAGGAAGCGTTTCCGACCCTATAAAGTATATATATTCTTGTTCAGGATCACTAGCCAAGTCGATCTAGCCATGTCCGTCTGTCCGTCTGTCTGTCCGTCTGTCCGTCTGTCCGTCTGTCCGTCTCTCCGTCTGTCCGTCTGTCTGTCCGTATGAACGCTGAGATCTCGGAAACTATAAAAGCTAGAAGATTGGCATTTTGCATGTAGATTTTAGGTGTTCCTACGCAGCGCAAGTTTGTTTCAAAATGGTGCCACGCCCCCTCTGACGCCCACAAGCCATAAGCTGTGGCCACAGTTTTGATGCTATTATGAAAATTTTAATTGATATGTATTTGTTTCGTCAATACCTATCGATTGGCCTAATAAAAGTTTGCCACGCCCACTCTAACGCCCAAAAACCCATTAAACGCTTAAGCCTGGCTAGCGCCTACATTTCCGCAATATAATAGCGCCATCTAACGGATGACTTTGGAACAGCTGGCGGCGAAAAACATACAAGAAAGCATATTTATATTAAGTTGTTTAGCTAAGTAACGGGTATCTAATAGTCGAGGCACTCGACTATTGCGTTCTCTCTTGTTTAAATATAGCGTAGTGATGCTTGCTTGGTTAAGGAATAATTCAATTAATTCAATCAATTTATTCCATTTCATTCAATGAATGACATAGAATGAACAAAATGACGATTGTTAATTTACATAATTGATTTACTTCAGAAAAAAATTCAGAGATCATGAGTGCATGAATGTTCGCGAATCTAGAAAATAATTTCATCACAACTCTCGGGTTTGTCCATACGCGTCTCCTCAATATACATTTAGTGCTTTCTGTGACTGTAAGAGTATAATAAACTGGCTTTATAAGTATGAACACTTCAGCGTGAAATTCAGTCGCACATCAGCGCTTATTGTAAAGAGTATTCGGTGTGAAGTCTTATTCAAGAAAATCTGCTTTCAAAATGAAGTTGTTCTTAATAACATTATTCGGTTTACTTGGCAATTTCGCCATCGATGCTGTACCACAAGTAATTGAAAAAACCTTTTTTTATATATTTTTTCTTCAATCTTATAATTTTAACCATATAAATTTCAATCTTTCAATTTTTTTCATTCCAATTCATGTATTTATTTCTAAGAATATTTTTCAATTTTTTTTATTATAAGGCAACTGTACAACCGCCAACCAAAAGTCAAAGTATGGATTGGAATCTATACCTTAATAAATTGCAGAACAAGGCCCAACTCGTTCAGGACATGAAGAACGATCTGAATAGTGCCAGCATAGATAAAAATCTGAACGATGAAACGGAAAAGATCAACGATTATAGTGCAACGTATTCGACTGAAGTTCAACAATTAGTATCTAATATAAGACCTTCACTTCTTACTGCTCATGATAGCATCATTGATGCTATTTCTATTATGCATGGATGGTGCAGTGGTGCAGATATCTTACTGGCCGCATTTCTAGACACGTTCCCTTCAAACGACATTGCAACGCGTGATGAAACTTTGAAAGATTTATTCGATTCAGACTCTTCAACAGAAATAATGAACAAGTTGAAAGAGGCATCCGACATGTTGGGCAGTGCTTCGAGTTTAGTATCAAATATTTCAAGCGAATTCGATTCTGATTCCACGGAACGCAGTCCTTTGTTCCAAGAGTTGTTGCGTCACGAAATACTCAGCGATGAGAATAAACAGTACCCTGCACGTCTTGTCGAAAAAATCCTTGAACAAATGCAAGAATATATTGACCATCCAGATCTCTTGGAACTGGTGCTATCAAAAACCAATCTTGCGGGTGCTGTTGCGATCTCAGTTCTTCGTTCTCATGCCAACCAAGAAGCACCACCCACTACCCACCAAACCCCCAAAGAAACAACTGTCGATCCACAAACTTATGTTCGATTTAGAGATCGTGTCTTGCATCGATTTAAATCGACGAAAAATTTTTTCATCGCTTATAAAAGCAGTATAGATAGAGCCATCAGTAGCATAGATGAGATTAATGCAAAGGTTTTGAGAAACAATCAGCCTGCAGCTGCAATGGGAAACGTACAACCACAATACACACCAAATAACCAGCGCATTACCGATGCAAGACTAAAGAATGCTGCCAAAGCATTGAAAAACAATTGTCAAAAATTTTCGAATGCACAAATTTAAAAAGTTGTTGACTATAACCAGTTTCGAAATGTCCGAGTGTAAAATGTTCAGATGTGGAACCACGTTTTAACAATTTAAACAATTTAATTTTGCTCAATATTTCAGATGTTTCAACTAAATATTATAGTTTCATGAATAAAATTCTAATATGAACGACTACTTTATTTTCTGTATTACACTATATTCTTGAACTCCTTTTGGATATATGTAAAAATACCTGCAACTTTTAAATCACGATCCTATACAACAGCATCACAAAACTTGAAGAAAATAAAAGCGCTTTATAATTTTGGTAAAGAAAAATATATTGCTGACTGCCGAAAGAATTCGATTTCACAACAATTGAAAAAGTATAGACAATCCAGAAATATTAGCCTGTTTATTCACACCAATCTCATCATTACGCAAACATATATTGGAATTCTTATGCATTAGGATTTGATGACATTTCCATTTGATTTTAAAGTATTCTCATATGCTTCACGTTCACGCAGCATTTAACGTACATTCCTATATCTACAAATCAGAAAAGAATGAAATAAGTTTTAGCAATATTTTTGGAACGGAAAATTCTAAAGCAGTTGATTTACATGAAAACCACTGAATTTTGGTCCATTCGTTTTGAACGCTCCGTCATCATAGAGTAAGAAACGTATAGAGGTCATAGACATAGAGTAAGAAACTATATAGAGGTTTCATTTGCTCTGCCCGGGCCTCTGCCAAAGCTCTGCTGAGAGCCATGTTCGAAGCTAACTTCTTCTAACTTCAGTTTCTCACCACTTCTAACATGTGCGAAGCACAAGCAATAGTATGGGGAATTCTCGCACCTATTCTTAGGAATAAGAGCGACCAGTGCAGCAATAAGAATTCACCATGGACATCGATTCAAGCTCGATTCGAACAAATGAAAAACTCTCTTTTTTCCGTTTTTCCCCTACGTGGCATCTCTGTCAAAGTCACTCGAGAGCGCGGGCAGAGCAAATGAAACCTCTATATAGTTTCTTACTCTATGGAGCAAATGACGCCTCTATACAATTTTACTTTATGGTATTTATTTTGATTCAGCTGGATTTGTTCTAGAGTTGGGGAAACATCGGTTTTATTACTGTTCGGGAGGGCATCGAGGTTGTGCCACCTCTAAAAAGCAAATGAAATGCAATGTACGCGCTACTTGCGGAGTAAGTTCCTGCTAACTTTAGATAACGTTAGTGTATCTGTTGCAGGATGGTGTCTCCGCTAACCATGTTAACATCGATGTTATTCCATTTCTTACGAGTTTTGAGTATCAACATTAGCACTGCTGACTGTGAAATGTGTCCAGCGCTATCCTGCTACTCAAAGAATGTTGAATTGAGCACTGCTTACTAAGGCACAAATGAAGAAAAGTGTCCAGTGGCACTGTTTACTGAAATAATTGTCAAACTGATCACTGCTTTGCGAGGAGTTTGTCAAGCGACACACTGTGTGAACGTCAGCACTGCTTACTTAGAAAAGTTTTAAATCACTGGGGACTAAGAGAAAAAAGAAAAGTATCAAGCGGTACACTGCTTACCGAAGTAATTGTCAAAATTAAACTGCTTAATAGGGAAAGTGTAAATATGGTCACTGCTTACTGAGAAAAGTGTCGAACGAAACACTGGATTTTGTTGAGGTCCATTCGATTACTCATTGTTTTCTCTGCCTATCGCACATTACTTGCAACAGGGAATTGGCTATCGCTCGCTATTGCTCAAAAGCTGGCTGTCATGAAATGACGAAGCATTTCCGTTACTTTTAGAAATAATTAATTTTAGTGCAAATAAGAGTAAAAAGATTTTGTTTAATTTTCTTAAATTTGTAAAAACCGCATGATATAGTGCCATTATAATTCGACAAGACAAAATGTTATAGTCAATATACTAATTAGGCCAGGACGTTTCTATAGAGTCGTCTGATTTTGAAGGACGACTTGCGTTATTAAATGCGTCTAAGTATTTTAGGCAAATTTGAACTTTTTTCCAAAATGTGAAAAGAGTTGTGATGACAAAAGTGGTATGCAATTTTTTGTTTACGCTTTAAACCGGCATATATGTTTATTTTGGTTTTAATTCCCTGTTTCAAGTAATAAAATAATTTTAATTGTCATTTTTCAACTAATTTATTGTTTCTCATATAAGAACAATACTTCTAAATATAAATATAAAATAATTGTATTTTTAGTTAACATTATATCATAATCTATTATTAAAAAATACAGAAATTGAATAAATCTCTTGAAGAGGGTATTGTAATTTTGGTCAAAAGTCTGTAAAGTTAGGAAGTTGGGATTTTCTGTGGGTTTTATTTTTGGCCAATCAAACCGACCTACCAAATTTCATATAACTGACCGATTGGAAATGCCATAACTTTGGTGTTTTTAAAGTTAGGAAGTTGGTATTTTTTATGAGTGTTAAGAATGCATCATAGAAATAATTTTAGAGAATATAATTTACAGAATATACTGCAAGGGTATTTCAACTTAGGCTCCGCCCGAAGTTAGCTTTCCTTTCTTGTTTTATGAAATTAATTGGCTTGACTATAGTTAATTCGCTGCAAAATTGGTAATTTTTTACCAATTTTTGTTGGTGATACGGATAGTCTCAGTTAAATTTTTGTTTAACCATGTGATAATAAAACATTTAAACAATATGTGGGAAAATTTCAATCCAAAAATATTGAAAAGCAAGTAAGATATAGATATAGACAAAGGTGGTTTGCGGTGAACGTTGTAACTGGTCACAGAATAATCGGAATTGAACAAATCAAATTACATTATTTAAAGGACCAATTTAACAAGGTAACGCTGTCGAGTTTTTTTGTATATTTTTTTAAGCACTTGAAAGTTGAAAACCTCGATTTTCGAACCAAAATCCAAGTTATTTGTTGTTTTAAAAATTATGAATTGTTAAAAAAAAAAACTGGCAGCGTTATTGAGAAATTTCAAAACGTTGCAGGATCGTGTTCACCGACTTTAAAAATGGCAACTTTTCAGGAGAGCGTTTTAAAGTTCTGGACACCCAAGAATCGAATATAAAAGCGCTAACTTTTACTCGGATCAATCTAAAATTTAAACACAATACTCTTGAAATGTTGTGCATTCCGAAATTTTTTTTTTTTTAATGCATTAAAAATCCTTAATATAAAGCCTTCGTAGTTTTATTCGAATATTATTCTTATATCAACTATATGTCAACTTAACGGGGGAATGTTGAAAAGCTTAAGAGAACTTCTAAAAATATTAAAGTTGGTGGGAAAAATCAATTGAACAAGCTGAATTGTATTAATTCTCCCGATTTTCCCAAGAACAACACTCATTGTCCCATGCATTCCACATAGATTGTTGGAAAAAAGTAATGTAAGCAATGACTTCCTTACAAAACTCCAAAGTCGTCAACTGCGGCATTTAGTGATATTTCCCTAAGCGAGCCACAAAAATCAATTAGATGAACGCTTCAATTGGCTTTAAGCCCGGTCTGATAATGAGATTCCATAATCGGCTGTAAACGCCCAGTTGATAATCGTCATCGAGTTTAGCTAAAGCGATTGCCCACTTTTGCGTGGATTTCCCATTCCACAGTGTCTGTTCCAGTCACCTAGTCGTGCTACGTCATCGGGTGCACTTGGAACCGGTATTCCGCAATCAACTCACTTCTGTGGGAAGAAACGCGTGCCTCTGTGCAAAAAGCGGGCAATGCCTCCAATCAGAAAGATCAGGCAGACCGCGATCAGGGGCTCACTTCGGAGGGGTTCCTTACCCTCGACTGATTAAAGTTGAACCAGGAACCATTCTAGATTATATATATGTTTTTGAACAAATTAATGTATGGTAAGTCAGAAAAAGACGCGTTCTATGCTTCCGATGATCTGCTGTTCTTATTATATTATATATTATTATAATTTAAAATAAATAAAATCAAGAAAAATTAGAATAATATATATGTACATGTACCATCTGGGACTTAATTTAAGCGTGTAAAACGTAATGAGATGATCATATTCAGATATAAGTGCTTAGCAATTATATTTTTTTATGGACAATGAAGTAAAGTTATAATAACTGTGTAAAACCGAATATAAAATTTTATCTTAAATTATGCACTATGAAAATTGTAAGAAGAATTTATTTGGGGGACTTCCTTTAAATGCTGCCCCTTCCCAACGCCGCCTCTGTTTTGAGCTTTATTGGCGTGCGAGTGCCAGGTACTACGAGGCATGACGTGATAGTGCGTCCGGGGAGTTGATCTATCAACGCCCAGAATGCATGGCACTATTAATATGATCGCTCGGTCGGCCGCATATAAAACCAGGTATTCCGAGCGAACTAATCAACAGAGTGCATTGGCCAGTGGAATCGATAGCTACTCCAGCCGCAGCTGATACAATAAATCGACTTAGAATGGGGACTCAACTACTTGCAGTTCTGCTGTTAATGGCAACACTAGGTGAGTTCACGTGAAGGGGTTCGAGAAGCAAGCAGTCCACAATAATGCATTCATATTCACCTGCAAGCAGCTCAAGGCCAAGGCAAACCCAATGGAAATGGAGTCGAGGGCGACGTCGACTACGATGCCGAGATGGGCGCCTTTATGGATGCCCTGCCTGACCTCGACGACACACCCGCTGGAATAGGTCAGCGATCGGACATCGCGAAGGAGCCGGAGGCGGATGACATCCTGGCCAACCTGGACGACGAGTACGAGGGGGCCGAGCACTGCGTGTGGAACAAATGCGACAAGGACCTCAGCGAGTCGCGGGGCATTGGCAAGTTCCTGGACCTGTCCTTTTTCAAGAAGATAGCCGGCAACCTGAATCCGTTCGCCAGCAAGCAGCTCCGCATGCAGTTCTACCTCTTCAAGAGGGAGTTCCCCGAGTGCGGCCGCGAACTGGACTTCTCGAGCGAGTCCCAATGGAGGCACTCGGGCTTCAACGCCTCCCTGCCCACCCGCCTGATGATCCACGGCTGGATGAGCCAGTCGCGCGGCTCCTTCAACCGGGATGTGAAGGACGCCTATCTGAAGAGGGGGGAGTACAACGTGATCGTGGCCGACTGGAGCGCCAGCTCGGCCAACATCAACTACTTCTCGGTGGTGGGGCTGATAGAGACCTTCGGAGCCCAGCTGGCCCAGTTTGCCAGGAACCTCCATCGCCAGCTGGGAGCCGACTTCGACAGCATGTACTTCATTGGGCACTCCCTGGGGGCCCAGATTGCTGGTTCTGCGGGAAAGCGCCTGAAACCGGACCAGGTGAACACCATTTTCGCCCTGGATCCTGCGGGTCCCAAGTTCCGGCACCGCAGCCCCGAGTTCCGCATCGATCCCACCGACGCCAAGTTCGTGGAGTCCATGCACACGAGCGTCAACTTCGGCTTCCGCCGGCCCACGGGCAGTGCCACCTTCTACCCGAACTACGGCGCCTACCAGCGCAGCTGCTACTACCTGGGCTGCTCCCACATCCGCTCCTACCAGATGTTCGCCGAGTCCATCAACTCGCCGCTGGGATTCTGGGGCACTCCGTGCACCCGGGACGACGGGCGGTGGCAGTGCGACCAGAGCCGGCGCCAGTCCGTCCAGATGGCGGGCGAGCCGTCTGTCCACAAGCAGGGCATATTCTACGTGAAGACCTCCTCCAGCGACCCCTTCGCCCTCGGTAAGCAGTAGGGCTGGACGGATGCGAGGGTAAATTTACCGCAATATAGTAGTAGTTGTAAGCGCCATTGAATGTGATTTAACTGTACAAATACATATATAGATGTTTATAGAAATTCCGGAATAATCTTTAACCTTTAATAAAAAACACTTTATATTTATAAATGCTCGAATTTTTAAATGCAGGGACTAAAACTGGTAAAATGTTAGATATTTGGTATCCCCGTCGCTGAACGTAAGATTTTGGATTTTGGAAACTATACCAGATAATTATGCCTTCGCAGCGCTATTTTAAAATTAAATCAAAGTTGGTGGAAGTAGGGACTTGGAAGAAATATATTTTTGAACGGTATAAATTATTTGATTAATATTTATCACCACACAAACAACTATTTCTGTAGTTATTAAGGAGGGGGTTTGGTTTTAAAATTTTGTTTTGGCTTTTTTTTCTGAATGCACAACATTTGAAGAATATTGCGTTAAAATTTTATTGATTGATCCGAGTAAAACTTCCGAAGTTATGGGCAGGTCGTAGGTGAGTTAGATCGATTTGTATGCGATTTTTGGGTGTCCAAAACTTTAAAACGGTCTTCTGAAAAGTTGCCATTTCAAAGTCGGAGAACACGATCCTGCAAAATCTACTGGACGAATCGTTTTGAAATTTTGCACACTATTTCTGTAACTAAATCCGCAGCTAGAGACGTCGAGTTTTTTTTACTGATTATTTTTCATTTTATAATAATTAATATATCGAATTTTTAGGCTAAAATCACGTTTTTGAATTCAAAGTGTTACCAAAAATCCATTAAAAAATTAATAAAAAAAGCTTAACGTAGTTATCTTCAGAAACATCTTAACTAATAAACAATTTTTTTTGTTATTTCTAATGATTCAGTAACGAGTTATGCTGTTTGCCATCCCCTTAGTTAAAGCGATATCTTTCGGTCGGTATATCGCTCGTTCCAATAGAGCCATCACAGAAGAATTTTAATTCACCCTCTTAAAGTGCGAATCGTCGCTACGTAAATTTTTGTTTTTTATACCCTTGCAGAGGGTATTATAATTTTGGTCAGAAGTTTGTAACGCAGTGAAGGAGACGTTTCCGACCCTATAAAGTATATATATTCTTGATCAGGATCAATAGGGGAGTCGATATAGCCATGTCCGTCTGTCCGTCTGTCCGTCTGCCCGTCTGTCCGTTTGTTTCAATACCGTTTGCGAGCTCAGTTTAAAAGCTAGCGATCTGAAACTTTCACAGTCGTCCTAAAACAAGTTTGAAAACCGCCCCGATCGGATGTCTATATCCTATAGCTCCCATAGGAACAATCAGATATAACTTGCAAGAATGAAAGATATTTCGCGCAGTGTAAAAGCTATTGACATAAATCTTTCCAAATCTTATTTTTTTATGCGTACCTTGATCAGGATAAAAGCGCGTGACGATCGAACGTCTATATCCTATAGCTCCCAAAGGAACAGTAGGGTGAAATCGGTCCAAAATTGATGATTATCAGAATACTTCGCGCAGTGTGTAAGCTACTAACATAAATTTTTCTTCTTATTTATTTACGCATATCTTGATTAGGGTAAAAGCGCTTGCCGCTCGGAAGTATATATCTTAAAGGAGATAGGAAAAATTGTTAAAGGATGCGAAAGTATTCATTTTATTTCTATTTTTATATGACATTTTTGGAGTATAAAAGCAATTGACTTGAAACGATGCAAATCTAGTTTACTTATGTGTACCTTATTCCTTTCGCTACTTTTTCACTTTTAGCAATTTCGGCAAAGTCTGCAAGGGTATTAAAACTTCGGCTTGCCGAAGTTAGCTTCTGTCCTCGTTTTAAATGTGAAATATTGGAGGCGATGCTATTTCTATTAACATAGTGGGCGGTTGGTCCACACTCACATCCATAGAATAAAGCAAATTACAACTACCTACTCCACAGCGAAATACAAATCAATTTAAACGTATAAATTTAGTTCTCCAATATGTCTGCCGAAATTGAGGACCTACTGAAGCGCTACCAGAACTATCCGAATGTGGTTGGCATTATTATTTTGGACCCGTTCGCCATCCCCATCAAGACGACCATGGAGTACACCCTGACGGTGCACTACGCGGCCCTGATCAGCACCCTGACCAGCAAGGCGGCCAAGATGGTCACCAATCTGGACGCGAGCAACGAGCTGATGAACATACGCCTGCGCACCAAGGTGCACGAGGTGATTGTGCTGCCCTCCGAGAACTACATCATCATCGTGGTGCAGAACCCGGGCAGTTGATGATCCATCCCACACATTGATACTCCAATAAACCACTCTCTTGCGTTGGGGCCCGACTGCAATTGGCTTTATCTAGTTTTAATTAAAGTTGGAAAGTGTCTGGGCCAATGGCGCATCTTTGGCGATGTGAAATATGCGAGTTGGCGCTGGCTTGGCGTTAATTGCCGCAGATAAATACACGCCGCGTCGCCATAATTACGACAGACAGATTACGGGCCGCAATTAATTGTCCGCCGTAAAGTGTTTGCCGGTATCTCTAATCCGGCCAGGGAAGATGCCGCCTTAAAAAGCGGCTCCTGCTCGATTTTAATTATTCGGCGACGTTCTCACTCTTAGCCGTTTGCATATTCATTGGCTCCTGCGAAGGCGGGGAAATATTGCATCGCTTTGATTTCCATTATGGCGATTTCACAGATTCTTCCGTCCTCCGCCTGTGGAAACTTTGGCTGCAATGTGGTAGATAAGCTATCCGAATCAGTTGTAAAAGCGGTCAAGTGAGGGGAAAAGGATCCAAAGTGATTTTAATATTATTCCGCTTCTCCTGGAGAAGCTGTTCCGCCTTTTTTGATAGCTCAAGGAGCGTTCTACCAAGGCTCCAAATTGTTTATTTTAGTATCTCCTGTAAACCATTATTCGCTGTCTTACTTTCTGTCCTAATAGGATTTTCACAAATTTATAAATAAAATTCCTTTTTTTTTTGGGATTTTTAGAAATAATTTGGCAAACGAGGTCCATCCTTGTGTGGCGTGTTCAACAATCTATAAAAAAAAAAATTTAGTAAACTCCTGTAAAGCAATATTCGCTTATTTTTTGTCCAAATAGGATTTTCACAAATTTACAAATAATATTCTTTTTAACCCAAAATTTATTATCATGCTATCCATGAGAAAATGTGACATTTGATATTGATGACCTTTAGCATTCTGTGAATATATTTCATTTCTATTTCAGGTTTCGGACTGTAAAGAACTCTAAAAAACAAAAAAAAGCAAAATTTTATTTACAAATTTCCAAATTCGTTCAAGTTGAATTTTTTGTAGAAAAATTGTAGACATGGAGTACGGAAACGGTATGCAATATGAAGGCTTCGGACAAGGTGGCGAAGTAAGTGTAGAGACACCCTACTAAGTGCAGTATACACCCTGTTATATTCCCTTTGATGTAGGGCTATGAAATGAACTATGACCAGATGGGACGTGGCCAGGGATACGGCCAGCAGCAGGGTGGCTACGGGCAGGAGTCCAGGAACTACCAGAGCGGATCCGCTGCCCTTGGAGGTCCTGGATATCGCAGTCCCCTGCGGTACAACAAGATTCTCCGCGAGATGAACTCCCGCAACGGACTTTAGTATGTGGATCTGTATATGGTTTGTCTGGAAATGTGGTCCACCTTTTCCCCTCTCCCCTCTCCCCTTAGTTCGCCCATGGAACAGCAGCGGGGCGGTGGACAGGGAGATTACTACAACACCTTGCCCGGCCTTGGCGGCGCCGAAGGTCAATCGTACCAGTCTCGTGGCAATGGAAACGCTTACTATTGAAACTCTTTGTAACCTTGCAGTCCGTGAAATTATGGCCAACATTTATGTCGTCCGCATAAAATAAATTTTATCGTGACTTATTTTTGTTTTTTGGAGCAATTCATACTTGTTCTTTAAATATAAGGCGGATTTGGTTTTATAGGAAACAAAAAAAACAGACCCTTGTAGCTAATAAAAAAAATTAAATATTCTTTACACCTTAAGGCGAAAATGTTTTTTTTTTCTGTTGAAAGTTTATTAAAGAATAATTTTGGTCTTTAAATATAAAGTCTGATTTGAACGAAAGAAATACATTTTATTATTACCAACATTGAGAATTCATATTTTTTTTGCGATCTGCTTGTTTTGTAGATAAATTAAAAGAAATACATATTTAGTTCAGAAAAAATTACTTTTTTTTAGGATGGACAGATGCAATTTACTTTTAGGATTGGAAAGTAGCAACAGAGAGCTCCAGATTTATTTTGACTGGAATTATAGCATAATAATTTTATATCAAACAAGGCAGACCCTTGTAGCTAATAAAAAAATTAAATATTCTATACACTTTCGCTTGATTTTTCTGTTGATTATTTAATTTTGTTCTTTAAATACAAGTCCGATTTGAACGAAAGAAATAAATAGAGAATTTTTCTTACGATCTACCTGTTTTGTAGATAAGTTGAATGATATGACATATATAGTGCAGAAAAAAAGGTAACATGTTTACAGGATGGACAGACGAAATTTACTTTTAAGAGCGGAAAGCAGTAACAAAGAGCTCCAGATTAATTTTGGATTTTGTACCCTTGCAAGAGCTATTTTTATTTTTACTGGAATTATAAAATCCTTTGCATGGGTATAAAGTACAAAATTCATCCAAAACTTCCTGTTTCTACGCCCGTCTATTTGAAAATAAAAAGTTATTGATATCGATATCATATTTGAAAATTAGGTTTTAAACAGTAACAGCATTTTGTAATTTATCATATACCATGATATTTTTTGCTAAAAAAATCTCGTTTATTTAAAGTATTGAACTTGTCATACAAATTTCTCAATTCTGGATTACTCTATCGTGGATAGTGTCCGTGCAAAAGACATTTTTAATATGTGGTCTACCTTAACTGGAATGCTAGCCTTATATTACCATCTTCGGGTAGTAGACTTCTTCTAATTAATCCACACTATTTATCCAACCGTAGAACGATGCTTGGCACTAATTTTATTCGAAAACATTTTCACGGGAATGTGGAGTAGATCTTACTATGATTTTCATGAGCCTTTAATAGACTATACTATTTATACCCGTTACTCGTAGAGTAAAAGGGTATATTGTATTCGTGCAAAAGTATGTAACAGCTAGAAGGAAGCGTTTCCGACCCTATAAAGTATATATATTCTTGATCAGGGTCACTAGCCGAGTCGATATAGCCATGTCCGTCTGTCCGTCTGTCTGTCTGTCTGTCTGTCTGTCCGTATGAACGCTGAGATCTCGGAAACTATAAAAGCTAGAAGATTGGCATTTTGCATGCAGATTCTAGGAGTTCCTACGCAGCGCAAGTTTGTTTCAAAATGCCCCCTCTGACGCCCACAATCGCTTATATACGATTTTAAAAATTTAAATATTTCGGAAAAGTAAAAATGCAGTTTTATTGTGTTTATCAATACCTATCGAAATGTAGAAGAAATTTTTCAAATCGGACCATTCGTTAAAAAGTTATGCGTGATCAAAGTTTCTATCTCCATCTCCCTCGCACTCCCTTTACCTGAGTAACGGGTATCTGATAGTCGGGGCACCCGACTATAGCGTTCTCTCTTGTTTTTTTCTATTACCGACTCTTTGTCAATCTTAAAAGCATTAATTATTTCGAGAATTTAGCATTATTTTTTTGTTTTGTTTGTCTTAGTTTCTATGTTTTTATATTGTTCTTTTCTCACCACTCGCGATCACGTTTTTACATCCCATCAATAAAAATAGGGCTCCATTTGCTTGTGATTATAATAGTGCATCAACGTTAAAAAAGAAACAACAATTAAAGATCATCGGTAACAACCGCTTCATATTTGAACATTTTTATAATCTAGTACATTCATGTTTTGTTGTCAAATTCTTGACATGTTTTTGGGTTATTGGATTTAGTCTTTTATACAATTAAAACCAGAAAAAATTGTTTAATTGTCTGCAAAATTTTATTTGTTGAAAAATTCTTTATCAAAAAAATGGAAATTGACTATTCCACGTATGCTCAGCTTTCAGGGTTTTCCTATATGCCCACTCCCGAGGAATTCTATCCGGAGGTAAGTATTGTTATATTGCCGCGATTCAGGTGATAAGGTTTCTTCCATTTTCAGATGAGGGGTGGCATGCAGCAACAGGAGTGTCAGCCTGGCAATGACTTCGACCAGGGACCCCGCCAGATGTCCACTCGTCAGCCCCATTCAGCTCCCATCCGAAATCGATGCCATCAAAGCCATCAGAGGGCTATGGACATGTCCGATGGCCTTCAAGCCAACTCCTACAATCCAGTTCGCTACCAAAGTACCAGTGCTTCTGCATATCGCTGCATGGTTCGGGAACAAAGACGAGCCAAGGAAATGATGTCCCGCAATGGGTTATAGTTAGTGAACCCCTCTTATACCCTGACCATTTGTACTTAATTATATTTTGATTTTTATTTAGCTCACCCATTGAAGCGTCTGCGCGTTACAGTGGTGGAGATTCCAATTACTACTGAAGTTATGCAGGTGAGTCCAATTTATAGGGGAGAGCGGGGCAAGGATAGTTAGTATTAGTTTTCCTCGGGCCTAAATGCCTCGTTGAAAAAGTATTTCTTCTTGCCTCAAAAATAGAGAATTTCATTAGGAATTTGAGCGTAAACGCAACGTCTTGAAGAAGTTACAGAATAAATTGTGTAAATGTCAATTTGATCAGGAATTTAATTAAATATACATATATGGGTCGCTTTCATTGTATTTCGGCGTAAATATACCTAAATCAATTATTACCTAAAATACGCGGTTCAGGACGTAGTTATTTATTTTTTTAATTTCTTTTTTAACTTTTGTAAACTTTTATTGTGAAGAAAAAGAGATAGGTAATTGTGTTTTTTTTTTCCTAAAAGTTACCGTTACCATGAATAGCAAAATATGCTACAGTGAGAATAGTTATTTGATGGAATATTTTAATGCAAGAGATGTAATCCAGTAAAACTGGATTATTTGACTTGCTTACGTTCCTTGCTAATTTCTCCAATCTAAAACAATTTTGTATTTGGCAAAGTTATAGCCTAATAACGTAAATGGTCTTTCTAGTGACACCTTTCTAAATGTACTCCCTATGCATATCCAAACTTATTACTATGTTTGCGCCACTCTCCCTTACAAAAGTTCATAATAACATATATGGTGTTGAACAATTTCATTTCGCAGAGGGCGACATGCTTCATTTCTCCGTGGTTAACATTTTTGTTTTTATAAATTATATTCCGTTCACGTATCAATATTGAAGTTGTAAAATAAACGAGTTTATATGGAAATGAGCATAACGTAGTGATACATTTTGAGAAGCCTTTTGTCTTATGTATTTCAATTAAATTTAGCAATTACAAATTAATACAAAATGTGTTTGAATACAACAAACTAGAATCCAAAGTACTTTTCCCGCTAAAGGCTGCTATAAACTCTAGATAAATGAGTGAAGCAGAACAGTTGACACTGCTCGAGGGTAATTAACGTGTGTTTTATGGCCATTTACCACTGCATGGAACCACAAGCAACCGTCAACCCATCCCGAATCACCCACCACATCAAGCAGTGGACTTGCACCGCACCCAGGAATCAGGGGGGGAATGAAGCCCGGGTGAACGGGTGGATGGTTGGAGGGTTGGCTCAAGTCGCCCAAACCAAACAGAATGCAATGAAGGATTAAAATAAGAAAGATGTGCAAATAAAATATTTTACAAAGCGGACAACGAGGACAACTTTTTGTCCAGGGTCGGGAGTTGTTTGTAGGTGCGGGTGTGGGTGTGTGTGGGTGAGGGTCCGAAATGCGAACGGAACATGTCGATGTGGAGTGGGACCGGCGGTGAAACACAGACAGCGACGGACTGGGCAGGGTGGACGACCAACAATGGCAATCCGACTGAAGCTTCAACCAGAAGTTGCTCCACTCGGGGATCGTGGCACCGGTGGGTGGATGGGGGGCTGCCTCTGCATGGTAGCATTGTCAAAATAAATCAATCGGTTTTATGTTGTTTTCTGGAATTTCTGTTTTGTTGCTTTGCTATTTTGTTGCCCACCGCCGTCGACATCAGGATGCCCCGGTGTGGAACAGTTGCAGGAGCTGCAGGACCAAGAACAACAGCTCCAGCTCCAGCTTGCGGTGGCATAAATCAGTTGCCCGTTGGACCCATTTATGAAAGGATAAACCCGGCAAACACATGCACACACTCATGGGGATCCCCGAGGTGCGAGGGGGAGGGGGGTGGCAGCTCATAAAAATGCATAAGTTCCAAAAATTGTGTAAATAAAAATACAAATTTTTAACTGGCGCCCAGTCCGGTTAGCTATTTCTGATTTATCTCGAAAGGAATTAAGATGTCTCAAAAGTTCCAGCGGGCCACATTAAAACATCATCCAAGGAGAGACCCCAAAACTGGGGGTCCTTGCCTCTCCAATTCCTTCTATCAGCTCCTCATAATCGGTCACACTTCCTCTTCCAAAGCCAAAGTTGCTTTGTGGCTGAAGTGGGGAGTTGGGGAGTTGGGGAGTTTGGGGGCCAGATGGTTTAACGAAACTTTGCTGCATCTCTTTGGACGCGTCTAAAGTGATTTCCTTTTAGGATTTTCAAAAACTTTCACCAAAGGTAAGTAAACATCGCACTCCCAACCCCCTCACACATGGCATCCTGCCACTCCTGCCCGCCACACATGAATCGCAGTCCGAGTCCTTGGCCATGTTGGCTGCCCTGCTCTAATGAAGCATATTCCGCCGGCGCATTTGCCTCGACTCCTTAATCCCTAATAACTTTTAAGCAAGTGACTTACTACGCACACAAAATGTCCAAATTCATCATCTTTGTGTTGGCATTGAATGTGGGGATGGCACGGAGTGGTTTGCAGGTGGGTCCTGTGAGCAAGCGAAAGGATTTAGCCCCAATTCGGAGTCCCTGGCCTTAAAAACTGTCAGTTCATTAGCAAATTGAAAATTTGCTGAAAAGAAAAAGCTTAAATCTGCTTGGTTTTCTCTAAGCGATTACTTAAATTGTAATTAATTTTCTGGTAATAATAAATATTTTAATTCCAATAGATAAAAAAATTGTATAAAAGGAAGAACGAATATGTTATAATCCATTTGGTATTGGCTAATATTAAAAAATATCTAAGCCCCAAAGTGTTCATTAATTGGACCATTATTAATAAACAATGAGATTAACGTTTTAACTGCCACAGTTATTTCGTTATTCTAAGTATTATTTTTTTTCAAAAACTTTTTCCCCCTAGAGAAATGAATGTTTATGCGTAAAATTAAATAGCGTGAAAAATGTGACCCGAAGATGGTCGGAAAAGGCAGCGCAAGTTAGGAAATTGTTTTTAAATTAAGATGGCAATTTTCCCAAGTCCAAGTCCAAGGGAACTCCTCGACAAAAAAACAAGCAACAAATTTGGGGAGGTGGAGTCTTGAGGACTGGAACTTATGTTTTGCCTTTCGGCCAAGCGAAATTTGATTATGTTCGCGGTTACACTTCATTCGTCGTGATGTCTTTCAACCACCAACCACCCTCCACCATCCACCTGCACCCCCTCCCCTCCCCCCTGAAGTTGACATAAATTGTTGTAAGTCTCCCTCGCGAGGTTCAATTTGTTGCTGTTTCCCCAGCCAGGAATTTATGCGATCAATTAAATTTTTCAAATGACCGAAGAAAAGTTGTGCCTGCTTTTTAATTTTCATAAATTTTACTTAAAAATTGCGCCTTTTCCTCCACAGTAAATGCGTTCTTATGGCCGCTTAATGTGTCAAGTTTTTTGTGTACAGTATCTTCGAGAGTTATGAAAATGATAATCAGATTTTATGATGATTAGAAATTAGAAATTTAGAGCCTGCGATGAGAATTTATTGTAAATTAGCGGAAACTTACAGGGGAATGAGGCAAAAAAGAGCAAAAAAGAAATGTGTCCAGCGAAAGTAAATCAAATGTAAATCATCGACAGGCGAAAGAAGAGTCGGACAAACTTTCATCTTTGGCGGAGCCAAAAATGAAATACAACACATTCTGGGGGAAACCTTTACAACTAAATGCGGATAATCTGTAAGTTTGCCTTTTGCCCAAATTTATGGCAAGCTGGGTGGACTTTTCCCTATATATTGTTGTTGTGCTTTTTCTTGGGTGCTCCCTCTGTATAGTTTTTCCCTCTGGGCGCTTTTCGCCCCTCACCACCCCCCTTGACCACCCCTCCGTCTATCTTTGCCAGCAAGTGAAAAACGCAGCCCGCAACTAAAACATGCGCATTCAATGGGTGAAGCCGCCTTTCCCACACACTTTTCCACCCCGGCAACCCTTCCCCCCCCCTCTCCCATCTCCCTGCTGCTGCAATTCATTTCCAGCAGGCGTGTGTGTGTGTGTGCGGAGATTTACCGTTTTATACTTGACATTTCCAAAAGTTTAAGTTTTAATTTATGACACCGCCGCTTTCTATACGAGGCGACAAGCTAAATATGAGCGAATGGGGCGTCCTTAAGCAGGATATCTAGCCATTGTCGCTGCCTTCCGACTCCTGCAGCCAAAGAAACGTATCCAGCTCGGCCTTTTAGTGACGTGAGGATCCTTACAAAGCCGTTGTCCAGTGCTTGGGTGTCCTTTTTGCCTGCCAGAAATTAGCCTGTAAAGATACAAAACTCTGAAGTGGTGAGCGAAGAAATTCAGATTTTTTGTAACCTTGCAGAGGGTATTGTAATTTCAGTCAAAAGTTTGCAGCGGAGTTGAGGTTGCACTTTATACCCTTTACTGTTATAACTTAACATTTTATATCCTTTACTGTTATATCTTGATCGGCATTAACAGAGTCACGATGTCATGTAGCTGCCATAGAAAAGATTGGGAAATGAAAAGAACACTTTACATATGTTCGTTGTTTTAATACATAAGAGGCGAAACCATCTCCCACTGTAACTCGAAGATGCAGCTAGATGCCGAATCGTCATACACATCAAATCAGCTTTTGGAATGAATTGTGATATATTATATATATAATATATTGTGATATATATATTAAAACAATATTTAGCAGGCTCAAAAGGCTTATGAGATAGAGCGGGGAAGTGTGGATAGAAATAAATATAATGTTTGAATAGAGGGTTCGAGATAGGTCTTTTTATCAAACAAAGGCTTTTAAAAAATACAAACTTTTGTATTGAACTTTAATATTCCACAGAAGAACAAAAATAACAGTTATTTGAACATTCCTTTTAAAAAATTATATTGTTTCTGGCCATAAACTTTAATCCATGGATCCTTATATTAATTTTACAAACTAACAGTTATTTTAAGACTGGTTTTTTATCTCAAAAAATATCAGTAATCGGGGACTTTCTGTCCCTGCCCCAAATATTTTGATTTTAAATTTCTTATAAAGTCTTAATGGCTTTCAAAAATGTTAATATATTAAATATAAAAATTAAATTAATCGAATATTTTCCATTAAAGGAATTATTAACTGAATTGTATTTCATATCCTTCGAACAAGCTTAAATATATTTCTGCTTGGCGAAATAGTTGTATTCTCTGCGTAAACTTGGATTAAATTATTAAGATTTGCTGGGGTATAATTTCCATCAGTTTAAAATCACCGCATTGTGGCTCAGAGTTTTCTCATCAAGGAGCATGTAATTTGCATTTGCGAGTCCGAAATGGACTAATAAACACACCGGAACCCGAGTAAACAAATTGTCGACTTGTGCACCGACCCCTGATGGAGGTCAGAGATCCATTTCCATCCGAAAGTGGGGGCGCAGTGTCCGCTGGCACACGGTTAATAGGCACAGCCGCGAGTTCTTGGCTCAAATTGGAAGTTATTCAAGGCGAAAGGTCGGAGACGAGAGCCACTGGGGCCATGGATGGCAGTTGCAGGAGCAGGAGTTGGAGTTGGAGCTGGCCTATGTGCCTGGTGGCGGAAATTGTTACACCATGGCGGGGCCGGGAAAAGCCAACCACAACAGCAGCAGTTATTGCCGTCGTGGTTATGGTCGCCTTTTTTTCTGCAAATAAGATTCGAAAAGTTTATGCCGCTGGCTGTCAGGAGGCAGTGGAAAATGAAGCCGAAAGGGGAGTGCCTTTGGCGACCTGCGTGTGATTCGCTTAGAGGAAAAGCCAAAAGCCCGCCCTCCCTGTGAATATTTAACAAGCGGCAGGAAGCGGAAACCGAAATAGCGCAAGTGTTGCTCAGTTTAATCTATTTCCCGCTTCGGTCCAGGCCCGATCCCTGCCATCTTTAAAAACACAAATTTACAAGCTGAACTTAACTTAGTTCCAGGGAGACAAGAAA